GTACCAAAGCTAGAGTTATATGGTTGCGATTTCAGAAAAGAAGGCAGAAAGAAATAGATGTAATATGACTTAAAATTGGTGAGTGAGTTTAGTTAAAGGCCGCACTCAGCAATATGCCAGCCATATGGCGGCGGTCTGTAAATAATCCAGTCTGGACCAGACAATCCAGTGATTAACATCATGAACATCGATCTACGCAATTGGGATATGATGACATGTGTCAACCAAGTCAGCGAACCTGACACCCGATCCCGTTAGTCGCTCCTTACGATAAGCATGGGTTACTCAAGATCAATTCTAACCCGGATCTCCACGGATATATAACTTAAAAGCGCCTGGAAACAGCACAAACTGAATGGAATCGGAGAAAGACACGGAGGCTTGATTTAACATCTAAACAGCTTCCAAGACAATATCATTCAATACAAACGTTAAATGATGTTGAATGCACGAACACAATCTAACATCTGGATTGCCACTTGACTTCAAGCCGACATCATTTCAATATCCTAACTGCATAGATGTCAGTTTCAGATACTGTGAGATTGTCAGAAAGGATCATATTCATTTTAGGTTTGACAACAACTGCGCTAGTCGCATCTCGGCCATGAAGTCATATGTCGCTGTTCATGAGGCTGTAACACGCATTCAGGTAAAAGTTCATAAATGTATAACACTGACTGGAGAAACATATGTTAATGTTTGCTTTATAGGAAAATCAGAGACTTGTGGGAAGTGTCATGCAAGCCATATTTTGGTATACACGCAATTGTCATCAGAAAAGGTTCATGTTAACTATGCAAGCTCTGTATGCAGAATTGAAGCCAAAGGTGAGAATTGTAAAGCTGACAAAGCCTGATAACGTGACCAGATTACATTTGCCAGGGAGAGAGGTGCCTCTGTGGGAGAAATGCATAAGGTAGAATGAATATTCAGCTTTTTATGAGGCATATATGTTTTATGCATAAATACACACAAAGAGTTAATTTGAATACAGTACAATGGTCACAGTCATAAAACTTAAATGTTTTGGCAAAGCAGCATGGTCTAAGATGTTATTCTCGAATGAGGAAAGATGAATTGATTGCTTTAATGGATGTTAGCAAAGTTAGCAAACCAATTATCAACGCTCTTGTTGTAGCTAAACTGATTGTTTTCATAAATGTCAACAAGTTGTTTATAAAAGCAAGCCAATTATCAACACTCTTATTGTAGCTGAATTGGTTACTTTCAAAAATGTTAACAAAGTTGTTGATAAAAGCAAGTCAATTATCAACACTCTTATTGTAGCTGAATTGGTTACTTTCATAAATGTAAACAAAGTTGTTGAAAAAGGCAAGCCAATTATCAACACTCTTGTTGTAGCTGAATTGATTGTTTTCATAAATGTTAACAAATTGTTGATAAAACCAAGTGAATTATCAACACTCTTGTTGTAGTTAAATTGATTGTTTTAATGAATCTTGACAAAGTTGTTGATAACAACAAACCAACCAACACTGTTTTTGTTCCTAATAACCGATCAAAACACCTCAGTTAAGAGGTGTACCCACAGATCATGGAAGAGAGAGAGGTTGGAAGATTGAGGTTCATTCTAAACGCGAATGTACACGTCCTTAGTGATATTGAACCTGTCTCATCAAACATGTTTAATGGAGAAATAATGATTTGAAAAGTATGAAATATCAGTTAACAGCTGAAATTCTATTTACACCACTTCAACAGACAAGACGAGTGAAACGACCCCAATGAAACTACTTGAGGTGAAACGGCCCGGAACAGAATTGGCATTCGTTAATATTTAGATGTAGCAACCTATATGCCTTTGAAAGTTAGATCTTATACAAATGTAACCCCATGGTATAATAAAATGTTATAATTTCATAATTAACATTGAAAATTACAATTATAACTGTGTAAGATGGGCATTGAGATCTGGCCTATTCCCTGGTGTTCTAAAAATATCTTGATCATCTTTGGAACAACCCACAAAATGATGATAACTTTGAAGTTTTCAATGCACCTAACCAGCATCACAAATTAACAAGGCAATAATGATTTAGCCATAAATATTCATGGTAAATGATGTGATGGACAGTAGGGTGCTTTGGTCAGTCGTCTAGCAAAATCTATGGTCATCAACGACACATACACTTCTCATTCAGATGTCCCTGTTTCATTGTTAAACTATTAACTATTTACGATATGCATTTTAAATAGTTGCGAAGGTTTTTTATTGACTATCACTTACTAATTTAATAGGATATTAAAGGTTGGTCATTATTGAAATGAAATGCCAGTACTATTCAAAACTGACTTTAAAGCTGTTTTAACACAGATTAAACATGCTAACCATAGTTCAGATATTGAACGCACTCAAGCATAATAGTATACATGTATAAGATTGTCAGGATAGGATATATAGTCGCAACGTATGATGGGGAAACAAATGTTCCGGTGATTTGAGGTTCCGATGCAGCGGGAAAGAATCTGCTACAATCTCAACAGAAGGCAAAATTATTGGTGAATTTGTATAGCATTAGAAAACCATGTGTTGGACAAAGGATGACTGGAGAGCCGTCAATAAGCCAACACTATAATTCCAATCTCATTATGCAAGCTGTCATAAAGACATATATACACATCATTCTCCCTGACTATCTGGATCTGTTACACGGTACTCACCTCATACGAGTTCCGAATTTACAGATTTCACTTTAAAAGCATCGCATGGTTTCTTACCAATTAATCTTGTTACTATGTAATGTAGGGTGGATACAAAAGCTGTGTCACTCAGTCCGTTGATCGTAACTCATCTGATTTCATTTGAATACAATACTGATATAGAAACACGCTTTATGCTAACGTTCGGTTAAATCTTTCAACTATAGCTTGGCTGCGATGGACCTATTTGCAACGCGCTTGATTGTAACGTAGTGATGTGTTTTTAGTTTAGTCACTGATCCTATAAGGGTATACTTAAAATATCTTCTACCATTACAAGGGTGCACGTTTCTCTGCATAGAGCATTGATTAAGTGCCACCTAAATTTTAGGGCACATTTTACAATTTTGGTTCAGACAGGTGATCATAACCTAGCATAGTGGAATGCATATGTAAAGAACGTGCTTTACGTAATATCTCAAACGTTATGGTCGCATGTTCATGTACTGCGAAGAACATTGGGCTGTACATTTAATTATTGCAGTGTGTGCACTTCAGATTTCTGAACTGATTTGAAAGATACAGTACTAATATTTAACTTTTCTCGACATGATGGCAAGTTAATGACATGCATGACACAAGTATGAGTGAGTGAGTATTGCTTAACGCTGCATCAGCAATTTTGCAGCTATCCGCGTCGAGACGCAGGTAATAACCTGCCGCCACCTCAGTGATAAACTGAACATGACATGGTTGTAAGTCGACTTGTAAGGAAGACCTGAAACAGCAAGGAAGACCAATGACCATGACCACTGAGTCCTAATTCGTCTGGCAAGACACAACCCCATGCCGAATAACTGCGCCGGTAATGGAAAGTTGGAGTCTGACACTACTAGTGTTGGGAATTGGTCAAAATCTCATAATTGATGATTGGTCCACTACAACCGATCAATCATCGAAAAAAATTGGTTAGCGTCATTTATTAAATTGTCCTGGCTATGTTTGTTAATGCACATAAAATAATGAAAAAAACATGCTGTTCTTTTGGGATTTTCTTTGCAAATTTCACGTCTTTAAAGGATGACTAGAATGTTAGGAGTCTTCAAGGTAAATTTAATCACGACTTGGAACGAGCTTGTAGTGCTTATTAAACGTAACATTCAAAACCAACCTTGAGATAAATACTGTTAATGCAAACAAGTGTTCCAAAATTGCTTGTGTTCGATTATGACAAAACATGATCGATTGCTTGGTCGTTTTGTCATTGCGACCAATCTTCGATTATTTCAATCAATTGGACCACCACTAGACACAATACCAGTACCATCAGAAGGAGGCTGTTGGCTGGTGTTCTGATGGAAAGTCGTCCGATCAGACGTCCCTTCCTTGCATGTTATGACGGCTGTTGTTGCAATGTCGTAATTTTGGACAAATGGCTCCGTCAGTGTATTTATACCAAAATATTTACATACGACATACTTCATAAGTCACCAACTTTAGACAGTTTTATGCAACTTATGCCTTTATAGTTTCAGAATTGGATGGATTTTAACCAGGTTATTGTTCGTTATCATGTTTTCTGATATGGTCAGGCTACAGTGTTCACACATGTTTTACCAACTTCTTCATGAATAGTACGCTATTGTTGAATACAATGCTGCGCCATCAACCAAACGTCACGGAATCCAGACACCAATGCTGTCAGCCACATCAGGCATTGGGTACCGCATCCGTGGTGTAGTGGTTAGTGCGTCCGCCCGGAGAGCGGAAGGTCGAGGGGTTCGATCACCGACCGCGTCATTCCAAAAGACGTTATTAATGGGTACAACAAGGACTGGTCGGCTCGGAGTCAGTATAATGTGTCTGAGTGGGGTATTCATGCTTCACTGCGGCATGGTATCCCAGCGGGCTAGCACTATAAAACCAACTGAAAGCTGGGCTAGTACAAGCAGCCGCACATACACATACACACGCATGCACGTCGTCATGTGAGCGAAATATTCTCAAGCACGACATTAAACCCAATTTCACCTCACCTCACCTCACCTCACCTCACCTCAGGCATTAGGTGCTCATGGGTTGTGGGTGGGGCTGGTTCTTGTTATGTGACATACACGTGCTTCACATGAGTGTTACATAAACTAATTTATCAAGAAAACGTCGAGAGCTTCGGTTCGTTCTTGGAAAAAAATACATTTCATTTACATTCTGAGAATTTGTCATCTGAGCTCTATAGTTGCATCACGTGATGCTCCTCCGTGTGGATAAAAGAGAGATTCGAATTCCATTCGTCAGGACGAGATTTGCAGAGGACGTGGCACGCGTACATCTCCAGAATGATCCTACAAGCAGCACTTTTCATCGCTGGTCTGACTGTTGCTAGTGGCAGCATCTGTTGTCCACCCAAGCAATTCAACGCATTCCAGTATGTCACCATTGTCAACTCCACGACCACGTTACGTGTAAGTACAGCGCCCGTCGACCATTGATAGCAAATGTAATCACTTTCCCCTTTTCGTCGACTTCAATGCAATGCTTTCGGCTTCTCCAGAATGACACGAGTGATCATGAATGCATGGCTGAACGGTGAAAATTGCATGAACAGATTCTCTTCTCCAGATGAGGACCTTGTACAAAGCGATCTCAGCACAAAACTGGTCGTAACTCCCATCCTTTAACACAGGCTTACGATCATCGAGTCGCTTAGATCGTTACGACTGTCGTAAGTCTGGGTTACAGTATAGGATTTACGACAGTCGTAGTGCCAAGATCGCTCTGTGGAGCAGGGACCAGGATCGTTCTTTGGTTCTGATGTACACTAGAGTAAAACATATGTTCTAATAACTTCTAAATATCTTTCAAAGACAGAAAAGTCTGGCGTGGCGATGTAACGTTGCAGCCATGTTATATCAATAAACTTCATTTTCTTTTCATTAAAATACATCAGGTTCTTCATGTTAAATTCTTAATTAAAAGTGTTTGAATCATTCCCGAACAAGATGAATATCGATTCGTGCCTTCCAGAGGCCGTTTTACAAATGGTCTGGCATTCAGAAATGGTAAAATAATACTGACTGTCACTTTGGTACATTTTTATGATACAAAATATTCCTTTGTACAAACATATACTGGAAAGGATGTTTTAAACCAAAGTAATGATTCGGTTTGATTCGTGATGTTTTTTGCACATTCGTTGATCAGTAGATCAACAAGTCTGCTCGTACTTTTACCAACGAAGTGGGTGAAGGGGTGTTGGCTTTAAATGTTTCTCATGCCGATGTTGTATTTCCTTTTAGGATCATTATTACTAACTGCCCCACGTATTTACTACACTGTCCAATACCACCTAGTCAGACACGTCAGGGGATTTTATTGCTTCAAAAGTAAATCAAATGATAGTTCTTTTCCAGTTCCAAATACTCTACTTCTATATGTCTGTATATGATAAAGGAAGCTAACAACATATAATTCATAACTTCAGAATCATCGTTTCCTTCAATACAAAACAATGTTTCCTAACAAAACTATGTCACTAACACATGTTATTCATAACTTCAGAATCATCGTTTCCTTCAATACAAAACAATGTTCCTAACAAAACAACTTAGTGTGTTCTATTATATTGTTGGAACATGTATTTTTGAAAGACCGGGGTTTCAAACTATATACATTCAAGCACCTGCCAGCCAAGTTCTGTCAAACGGAATCGCATGAAATTATTATCCAGGTGGCTTTCGGCTTTAAATTCGCATTCCATTAGCCCATAGATAAAGCGTCAGGTGTAATCTTAGGATGATAAATGGAGACATGGTGCTTTAAAGTTTTAGTTCAGTTTTAAATTCAGTTTTAAAGGTTTAGTGCATTTGACTACTGAAAGCATGTAACCCGGATAGCTCGCAATTGAATTTGATTTAATTAGGAAGCTTTCGACACTAGCAATAATGTTTAAATAACACTGGAGCGGAAATGCATGTGTTTTGTCTGGTAGAGGAACATTTATCTTGTTGTATACTACGGTATACGAAGGTGTTTGGGACTCGTGGGAATTGCTTCTGGATTTTGCATGTTTGTCTTTCTTAATTTGGAATTTGAGAAATATTGAATCCATTCAAATCTTTATGAACTTACAATTTTTAATATCTCCTGGTCGTTTATGGCATATTTTCAGGCGTTGTATCATATCGTCTACGACGGCCTCAAACAAAGATATCTCATCAGCGGTGACCGCCTCAACAATTACCTCGGAACCACCAAAGTAATCTACGACTACCAAAAGGTAAAGAAATGCTTTACGACAATTAGTTGCCGCATGGTGTCTCAGTGGACAAACAAAAGTTAGTTTTATGTCGCATTGTCACCTCCAAAGCATGTGAGGCAGTGGGGTAGCCTAGTAGTTAAAGCGTTCGCTCGTCACGGCGAATAACCTGGTTCGATTCCCCACATGGGTGTAATGCCATCTCTGGTGTCCCCCGCTGTGATATTGCTGGAATATTTCACGCGAACGGCCTGAAAGTAAACTCACTCACTCCTAGGCATGTACTTCTTTGTGCCGAGTGATAATATAGGTATATGTCACAAAGATCTGTCTTCTCGTTGTTGTTTGCAGATGCTTGGTTACAGCATAGGCTCAGTGGCACGCACTTGTACAACATTCCCCCTTCATGGACATTTTGAGGATCAGGAGAATATCTGTGTTCCAAGTAAGTCATTTTCAGGTGTATTGACAAATGTTTGAATGTTCTGTCCATAATCATTGACTTCAATCAGACTTCAGAGTAGGTCTCCCGTAACCTTTGAATTTCCCAAGAGTAGACTAAAACGGTCGTGGAACGTTATGTTTAATTGATTGATTGTTGTTTAACGCCGCACTCAGCAAAATTCCAGCTAAATGGCGGCGGTCTGTCAATAATCGAGTCGGGAATAAAAAAATGTGGAAAAAAAAAATAATCGAGTCTGGACCAGACAATCCAGTGATCAACATCATGAGCATCGATCTACGCAATTGGTATACGATGACATGTGTCTACCAAGTCAGCGAGCCGGATCACCCGGTCCCTTAGCTGCCTCTTACGATAAGCATGGGCTAATGAAGATCAATTCTGACCCGGATCTTCACGGGTCACAGATGCATGAAAGAATATAGATCCTTACATAGTGTTATAGCAAATGTATATGTTAGGTCTTTTCTATATAGATTAAAGATCAAGGGCCATTCATAATCAATATCTTTGTATAAATTTTCCCATGTATGGCAGATATGTGGTATAATTTGAGCAATTTATCATAAAATTTGGCATTTTAGAAGTTGATGAGCAATAAGAAGGTAAGATACTTATGGATGACAACTTCTTTATTTAATTAATATTATGATGCATGGTTTCAACATATACTATCATAATTTGATAAAGAAGTTACCTTCTTAAGATTCGATACAGCTTATTGTTTGGGCATTACCAGGATGTTTTCACCATCCCATCCCTGACTTGAAATGGTCACCCCCGTATCTTAAACCAAGGTTTAATCTCAGGTGGGGCTGTCTCTCTGGGCCCTTACTTTTATGGTTACAACCGGAACAAGCTGGCGTCAGCGACGTACACCTACAACAGCACCACCACCGATGGGAGGCATCAGAGCATTGAGGCTATTGTCTCACAGGACGATTGTGTACCACTCGTCAGCACCACGATTTCAACAGACAGCGCAGGTTGGTGTGGCCGAGTGAGTGGGTGTGGTTGAGTCATTGAATGACGGCACTATTGAGTGAGTGAGTGAGTTTGGGAGTAATCGAGCGATTTTGTCAGTAAACGTCAGTTAAGTGATTGGAAAAGATTGAGATTGCTAACGTTAGTTTGATCAGAATTTCCGAGACATTATGTCGTGCCATTTATAATCCAGGGGCTGAGCGGGTGCGTGGGTGGATGTCCAAAGCCCTTCCCTCTCCCTCCCCCCATAACAATGTCCCTTAGGAGCATCCCCCCTCCACCCCCACCCCCCAGCCTTTGGACTACATGAATCATGTGCCCCCAAACACACACACACACACACACACACACCCAGCATATCTTTCTGCATCTCGAAAACGAAGTTGAACAACCAGATTCGAACGGAGATAATAAAGTCCACGTCAACTGTTCGTCGTGGACTAATTCGTCGTGTCGTTTTTGAGTGGTTATCTGTATTTGTTCCTTGGTTAAAGTCGAAAGTTCCCAATCAAGATGGTAAAGACAGGAAGCCAGATCGTTTTTTGAGAGATGTGTATCCGAGTGGCTCGGGAATCCACACATCTTTCATTTGGACTGGACTCTTATTTAGGGATTGCCAGATCTTCACGCAGATGAGATAACATCGCAGTGAAGATGGATATAACTGGACTTGTTTTGAACACCCATGCCGCGAGTCGCACGATTCCTAGAAAATAAACGCCTAACAATTACACACAACAATGAGTGAGTGAGTGAGTTTAGTTTTACGCAGCATTTAGCAATATTCCAGCAATATCACGGTGGGGGACACCAGGAATGGGCTTCACACATTGTACCCATGTTGGGAATCGAACCCGGGCCTCCGGCGTGACTTGCGAACGCATTAACCACTGGGCTACCCCACCGCCCCACACAAGAAAGAAACAATAACCTCCGTACTATAACTCTTAATATTACTCACTGTGAAGTGAAATAAGTAATCTGGAAAAATTGCTGACTATGAAATACATGTATGTACTTTCTCTCCAGGAGTAAACTCTCTTTACGTTCTCGGGTATAACGACTTCTATCCCGGCATCAAAGACGCCAGTGTCTTGGACATTCCGACATACTGTCGGTTCTGATACCGTAAGTTCATCGAACACAAAGTGTTCAGTTTGCAATTCTGTCCATGAATAAATTCCAACCTGTCACTCAATTCGCTTAGTAAAATTAATATAACAAATCACAGTGATTGTCAGTGAATATCAAATACTAGTCTTTCACTCAATCGTATTACTGTGAATATAAAATATTCACTTTTCACTATATCGCAAAATTAACATTAATACTGTCATTTTATATTAAATACAATCAGCCATCAAATACTAACTTCTCACTTCATGGCATAGTCAACATCAGTACTATCCTTTTATTCAATGGCATAGTCAACATCAATACTATTCTTTTATTCAATGGCACAGTCAACATCAGTACTATCCTTTTATTCAATGGCATAGTCAACATCAGTACTATCCTTTTATTCAAGGGCATAGTCAACATCAGTACTATCCTTTTATTCAATGGCAGTCAACATCAATACTATTCTTTTATTCAATGGCATAGTCAACATCAGTACTATCCTTTTATTCAATGGCCTAGTCAACATCAGTACTATCCTTTTATTCAATGGCATAGTCAACATCAGTACTATCCTTTTATTCAATGGCACAGTCAACATCAATACTTACCCTTTATTCAATGACATAGTCAACATCAGTACTTTCCCTTTATTCAATGGCATAGTCAACATCAGTACTATTGTTTTATTCAATGGCAGTCAACATCAATATTATCCTTTATTCAATGGCAGTCAACATCAGTACTATCCTTTTATTCAATGGCACAGTCAACAACAATACTATCCTTTTATTCAATGGCATAGTCAACATCAGTACTATCCTTTTATTCAATGGCATAGTCAACATCAGTACTATCCTTTTATTCAATGGCATAGTCAACATCAATACTATTCTTTTATTCAATGGCATAGTCAACATCAGTACTATCCTTTTATTCAATGGCATAGTCAACATCAGTACTATCCTTTTATTCAATGGCATAGTCAACATCAGTACTATCCTTTTATTCAATGGTATAGTCAACATCAATACTATCCTTTTATTCAATGGCAGTCAACATCAGTACTATCCTTTATTCAAGGGCATAGTCAACATCAGTACTATCCTTTATTTAATGGCATAGTCAACATCAGTACTATCCTTTTATTCAATGGCATAGTCAACATCAGTACTATCCTTTTATTCAATGGCATAGTCAACATCAGTACTATCCTTTATTCAATGGCATAGTCAACATCAGTACTATCCTTTATTCAATGGCATAGTCAACATCAATACTATCCTTTTATTCAATGGCATAGTCAACATCAGTTTTATCATTATATTTTAACTTTACACTGCAGTAAATGCCTTGTAATTAGGACTCATTTTTATTCTACATGTTATGACATACATTTACGCAAAATTAATTATTTTTGTTAAAACAATTAATTCGAATGAAATTAACACACAAAGCCACAATTTAGTTCCTCCGCAACTGCACGAACATGCATATTTTTCTGTTTCAGAACACTGCCGAAGAGGTACAGCTGGATCTGCCTTCTCAAGTCACTGTGAAAATGTAAATCTTGCAAAATGTACATGACATGATTAATACAACCTATTCCAGAAAGTGGGTTACACTTTATTTACGTTTTTCATACAGTTTGGCGTATTCCAGATTCTGGATTACAATTACAAGACTTAGGCTTAGGACCTGGCTTAGATGCAGAACAAATTCTGCAACATTTCAATCCATGAAATTCTTCTTTTCATGAAGAGGAGGGGAATGTCCGAGGCCCCAAATTGTAAGAAATACAGAGTTATTTGGAACACACACACACACACACACACACACCCCTCCTCTATGTTGAAATGATGAATGGTTGTTTGGACATTCCTGTCACCAGCGACACGTTTTCCGACAAAATTTGAAATCATTCACTTGTCAGAATACAAAAAATATTATCAATTAAAGATAATGTATTGTTGATAAGTCCATTCTTTATAAATAACAAAAGAATGACGTCACAGGTGTTGTGAGGTGACAGGAAATGCCAGCTTTGACGAACACTGTTCATATCTGAACACAGATTTTTCAGTTACTGACAAAAAATCAGTTTGCCGCAGTTACGAAAATACCATTTTTCATCTCAAATCCTATTTTTCTGAAAACGGTGTCTTGCTAGCGCCCAAGCAAATAAAGTGAAAACTGAAATTCCTAACCAATGAAAACTGTAATTGCGGTCAACCGTGTCCCACAAACGGACAATGGCCGATTTCTCCTTGGTCGCGACTGGATGACAGTAAACATGGGCTTGGTTTATCCTCGTAAATTGGAGTTTCTTAAACTTGTTTCCCCCCAAAACAAAATGTTCCGAGCTGAAGTCATGTATGCGAGTACAGAAACGTTCCTGAAGGACGAAAAGCATGCCCACCCATAACCGGATATGGAACAGTTTGTAACAGTGCTGTAACAAAAGAATATTTGCAGAGTTATTTTTGAGGTAATTTATTAAAGGTGTCTTTCTCAGAAAATCCACCAGCTGGTATTTTTCACAACTTAAAACGGTTTAGTTTTTCGCCGCTTTTAGCAATATTTAAGCAATATCACAACGAGGGACACCAGAATTGGGCTTTTCACATTGTACTTATGTGGAGAATCGAACCCGGGTCTTCGACGTGACAAGCAAACGCTTTAACACCTAGGCTACCCCTCCGCCCCGACATAAAACATACACGCGATATCACTTCATCTCATATTGACAGAACTGACAGGTGAAGCAGGAATAAAGAGTCTACAAAATGGTGAGGTATTGACAATGGTCGTCAGATCCTGGAGAAGGGGCAATTCTACGCAACAAATTCAAGCGCCATGGACAACGACACCTCCATATGACCTCAATATTTGTGTTGAGAAAATACAAAGTCTTAAATGTTGTACATGTTTAATCTCAAAATAGCACATATGGCATGTAAATTACAACAAAATAACATCATCACGTTCGCGGGATAACATACCCAGGTTATAACATCACTGAATGTTCACAAACATACCACCATGACAATAGCCAAAGCAGATAGCAAAAATATGGATGATTGTTTTTGTCTGAGGATGATGACATGAAACTTAACCTTGCTCTTGGCTGTGATTGTGATTGTGAGGAGAAAGCAATAATGCCAAGACTGACTGACTGAGTTTGGTTTTACGCCGCTTTTAGCAATATTCCTGCAACATCACGGCGGGGAACACCAGAAAAGGGCTTCACACATTGTACCCTTGTGGGGACTCGAACCCGGGTCTTCGGCGTGACGAGTCAACGCTTTAACCACTAGGCTACCCCACCGCCCCAATAATGCCAAGAGATAGGAAGTGTAACAAACTGCACTATCTTTAAAGGTAGGCCAGTTTGTCTGAGCTTTGAATCCCTGTTATTTCCTAGATATATCTGTAGCGCTGGTGTTTCCTAGATATATCTGTAGCCCTGTTCTTTCCTAGATATATTTGTAACGCTTGTGTTTCCCAGATATATCTGTAGTGCTGGTGTTTCCCAGATATATCTGTAGCGCTGGTGTTCCCCAGATATATCTGTAGCGCTGTTGTTTCCTAGATATATCTGTAGCGCTGGTGTTTCCCAGATATATCTGTAGTGCTGGTGTTTCCCAGATATATCTGTAGCCCTGTTGTTTCCTAGATATATCTGTAGCCCTGCTGTTTCCCAGATATATCTGTAGCCCTGCTGTTTCCCAGATATATCTGTAGCCCTGTTGCTTCCTAGATATATCTGTAGCCCTGCTGTTTCCCAGATATATCTGTAGCCCTGTTGTTTCCTAGATATATCTGTAGCCCTGCTGTTTCCTAGATATATCTGTAGCCCTGCTGTTTCCTAGATACATGGGCAATGCTGTTGTGTCCCGTATATATCTGTAGCTCTTGTGTCTCATATATATAGGGAATGCTGGTGTTTCCTAGATATATCTGTAGCCCTGTTGTTTCCTAGATATATCTGTAGCCCTGCTGTTTCCTAGATACATGGGCAATGCTGTTATGTTCCGTATATATCTGTAGCTCTTGTGTCTCATATATATAGGGAATGCTGGTGTTTCCTTGATATATCTGTATTCCCGGTGTTTCCTCGATATATTGGCAAGCTGGTGTTTCCTCGATATATTGGCAATGCTGGTGTTTCCTCGATATATCTGCATCCTTGGTGTTTCCTTGATAACTCTCTATTCCTGGTTTACAAGATTTATCCCTGGTGCTTCCCATATATATCTGCATGTGGTGTTTCCTAAATGTATCTGTATCCTTTGTGATTCCTAGAAATATCTGCATCAGTGTTTACAATATGTATCAGCATTGTCAGAGTTACTAAATATATCTGCATCAGTGTTTACAATATGTATCAGCATTGTCAGAGTTACGTGATATATCTGCATCGGTGTTTACAATATGTATCAGCATTGTCAGAGTTACGTGATATATCTGCATCGGTGTTTACAATATGTATCAGCATTGTCAGAGTTACGTGATATATCTGCATCAGTGTTTACAATATGTATCAGCATTGTCAGAGTTACGTGATATATCTGCATCAGTGTTTACAATATGTATCAGCATTGTCAGAGTTACGTGATATATCTGCATCGGTGTTTACAATATGTATCAGCATTGTCAGAGTTACGTGATATATCTGCATCAGTGTTTACAATATGTATCAGCATTGTCAGAGTTACTAGATATATCTGCACTTTCAGCTCAACAACAATAATACAGATCATGGAGACAATATGAACTGACAATAATTATTGTTACTAGGCAACATGTATGACCTTACTGACTAGGGATGGGCGATAATACCGGTCAAGCGGTATATTACAATTCAAACTTCACAATGTGATATGATGCGGTACACTTTCCGCGAACCGGTTCACCCGATACAATCGCCAATTTCCGTGATCATGATCAGTAATTTTCGTGATGAAGTAAAAATTACTAATAACATTTCTATTTCCTTTATATCATTATACATTAATAGTTTTGAGAATGAACCGGCTCTCGTTGTAGGGATAAACAAACCAAAATGGCGGACGCCGCTGCAGACGCTTCTACTCTATTTCCAATCTTTGGAGCAAAGTCTTCAATTTGGAAACATTTTCAATTGATCCCTTGTACAATCACATCTGAGTCCTGACAGTGGCCAGTGTCATTTTTTCAAAAGAAAGGAAACAGTAATTTTATTACCTTAAACCATCTGTTACACTTTCACAATATATTGCAATACATGTTACAATACGCCAACACATATCACAATATATCGCAATATGAAAATTTTGGCAATACCCAACCCTATTATACTGACATCACACTTATTCTTTAACGTAAAATGCCTCGGAATAACTAAAACACACTAGCAGATAGTTGACACGGTATTGCCAACATTTCAAATCTTTACTGAACATAGAATTTTACTTGTCAGCTTCAACTAAATGAGAACACAGTCTACTCTTCCTTCTCAGATCATCAAAACTACCATTGGGAGTTAATACCGAACTCTGGGTAGGATTACTGTAAGAAGACAGAATATGCCAAGTCTGTGATTACCATAGCGTTGAAGACGAATACCATTTGTGTCACATTTGCCCAGTTTATGATACTTTAAGACCTTTACATGTACCAAAACACTGTCTTGCAAATGTTAACATCGCTGTTTACTATAAATTATTCTCCTGTACAAATAATACTATCCTTCATAACTTTGCACAATTTGTAAAACTTGCACTTCTTAAAAGAAAGACAATCCTTGATGCTTAATCTCGCCAAAAATGTATACATTGGTGTACATGGGGCGATGGCCTTTATACTGGAATAAACAATTGAATTGAATTAAGGAGCAGTTTTCAAAACAATTCATATCAGAAGGATGAAAATATCAACACAAAAATTCCAATTGAAAGTTTCTTTGTGATTTGCCAAAACAAATTTGATTTGGGAAAAATTATTTTAAAAAGAAACATGACCAATGGGAGGTTTGAAAATAAAATTGCAACACATTTTATTCATAGTATTTTATATCAATTTATATACGTAAAGTTGTATATAACAATTTATATTTATTCCAACAGCAAAGAAGTTGTTTTTTTCCTCATTTTATTTCTTTTTGTTGATGAAATCAAAATACAATAGCTTTACATTAATATTTAAATTTTCACAATTCAATTTTAAGTCGAAGTTGAAAAAAAGAATCTTGCCTAAAAATACATATGAGTGTTGTCTGTGTTAAATCTGAATATATAAAAACAATGTTTATTCCTAATTACACTTTTGGGTTATCATAAAAGTATGAACTTGTTTTGGAGTTTCAATCAACAGTATATCCCATATTATTTGCCCTTGTTTACTATTTCTTCAGTCGCAGAAAGCACAAGATGTACACAAAACAGACATTCAGAGAAAACAGACATTCAGACGAAACATTCTCAAGATACGTGTCCCCGAAAATAACTGCAACAACAACCAACAGAACTGGACATTATTATGATTGTCTAACATTCTTTTGGTCCTTCGGATATCAGCGTTCTGACTGTCTGAGTTCCTGCTGTTCAGATGTCCAGGTCTTCATCAGGGTCTTCCTCATCAAAGTCATCTGCATCATCGGGCTGATAGAAGATCTTCCCTCCTCCCTGCGGCTCAGACTTCGCCCTGGAAGCAACAGAGTGAGAGACATTTTACAAAACACACAACTCAAACTGATGTGCTGGTTTTCCCCAACACTCAAACCTCATTAAAATCCAACTATTTAAATTCAGACCTTTTAATCACTTAATCACATCTTTTAAATTTAATCACTCCAAGTAATAAAAATCAGATGTATTAAAATCCAAATGTATAATTATTCAACCTCATCAAATCAGATCTTTCACACTCCTCTCAAGCAGATGTGAGTGTGTGAGCGTGTGTACAAGAGTGTGAGTATATAATAGCATGAGTGCATATGTGTGTGTGTGTAGAAGAGTGTGTATGTGTGCGAGCATGTGAGTGGTGTAATAACTGCCCCAACCCATCTCCATAATAAAGCAAAAAAATTCTACTTAAATGACTGAGTTTAGTTTCATGCCGCACTAACCAATATTCCAGCTATATGGCGGCGGTCTGTAAAAAATCGAGTCTGGACCAGACAATCCAGTGATCAACAGCATGAGCATCAATCTGCACAATTGGGAACCGATGGCATGTGTCAAAAAAGTCTGCGAGCCTGACCACCCGATCCCGTTAGTCGCTTCTTACGACAAGCATGGGTTACTGAAGATCAATTCTAACCCGGATCTTCACGAGCACTTCTACTTAAAGAAGCTGCCATCAATACATGACACCAGAACCTACCCTTCGTTATCCTTAATGTAGGGCAGCTTCACCTGGCTTCTTGCTGCCTTCTCGCTGTCCGTCAGACTCAGGTTGAACGGCAGGTTTGCTGCAGGATCAGCCTGTAATGTTTAGCTTCTTGTTAGACAACTTGTTTAGATTAAACAATTATCAATCCAGGATTGAACAAGTAAAGGTGCAAAAAGGGCTGTCAATCATCACCTGATGACCTTCATCTTTGATTCATGGTTCCCTGGGTAATGTTGCACTGCCGCTTCACTGACAGTAATAATGGCTGCACAATGGCTGCACAATAGTGATCTCTACTACAAGGCTACATGCCATATATTTACCGAAACAAAATCCAAGAATTGGTGATGTGAAATGGGGTTTAACGTCACACTTAAGAATATTTCCCTCATATGACAACATGCATGCATGTGTATGTGTGGCTGCCTGTACTAGCCGGGACTTAAGTACTAGCTCACTGAGAGACCATGCCACAGTGAAGCATGAATACCCCACTCACACACATTATACTGACTCTGAGCCGACCAGTCCTTGTACCCATTAATGCCGAACGCCAGGCAGGGATCACAAGTACCATATTTTATAGTCTTCTGGTGTGACGCGGTCGGGGAACGAACCTGCAACCTTCCTCTCACCGGGCGGACACTTTAACAACTACACCATGGATGGTTAGGATGTTTTCCTAGCATGTTCATTAAATTTAAAGCAAAATAATGCCCATCAGTACTTTTTAAGAAGGAAATGTCATCAGAAAAATGAGACATGGGTTAATGAACCCTCATTGTTTGTTTATATTCCCTGAGCCTGAAGGGAAAATTAACAGCAACATAAAGGGTGCATTAACCGATGGGCCCCAAGGACCAGTGAACAGTGTATTTATCTTACTGAACACCTCATTGTTTATTTTGAACTGTTTGAATCCCAGGTATCTGATCATAATAAGGAGTACCAGAGTTCGGCTATTAGCCAATAATAGGATTTCAGATGACATAGAATCTAGCAGACGACAAGAAAAAGAAATTTAGAGTTAACTCCCTTCCATCGATTTGCATTTGCAAAACATCTGTAATTTCCGCACATCATACATGACTTAATTATTCGAGATAAAGAATTACTAACATGAAATACCAAATGAATTCCCACAGTTTGGCATTCCCAGCATGTAATGAAGGAAAGGTTTTAGATTGTTCAGTTCTGCTATTACAGACAGAAGGATTAACAGATGCTTTGTTTGACAAAGAAACTAATTATGGGAAATAACAATGAGAAAAGCTCACACTACCCTTATTTAAAATGAATTACTTCAATAAATTGAGAATCAACGGACAAAAATATTTCTGTATTGATCAGAACATCCATGTTGTGAAACATAACAAAAACCAGTGCTATGACACTGTAGCTCACTTAAATATGTAGTCGATGTTTGATTATGATGTCATCATTAAGGGAACTAATGACATCACAATGGTCTGCCTAACATTGTGAAGCAATTCAACAATATCTCCTAAAACTCTGACAGTGATCAGATACACACTATGAGGCCCATTACCTGTGAGACAGTGCGCCATCACAATAGTGAAGGTCGGCGAGGCCTCACACACCTCCATCACTACCTCCCCCCAATCCCCCTTACCTGTGAGACAGAGTCCGGCATCACCATAGTGAAGGTGGGCGCAGCCTCACACACCTCCATCACTCCTTCAGGAGGAACCTGTCTCTATTACCTGTGAGACAGTGCGCCATCACAATAGTGAAGGTGGACGCGGCCTCACACACCTCCATCACTACCTCCCCCCAATCCCCCTTACCTGTGAGACAGAGTCCGGCATCACCATAGTGAATGTGGGCTCGGCCTCACACACCTCCTTCAGGAGGAACTTGTCATCCATGTTGAAGTTTTCTACCTGACAAATACAGACAGACACATTTACGAACAAGAACTCAGGTACACGAAACGTAAAAAGCTACGACTGTCCAAAATCGGGTTATGAATACACAATGCATTAAGAAAGTGCTCAAACGTAACACATGTTATATTCAGGATTACCCTTTCTCTGTAAAATACAGATTCTAGTACTTTAGTTAGGTTGGATTTTCATCCAAGAGCTAACAAACGATCTGGAATCTGTACTTTACTGAGAAAGGGTAATCCCGAATCTATCGGGTGGTAGAGCAATACCATATGTTCACGGGGCAGAATATTTGTCTGATGAACCTGTATGTTTATCTGGTGGTAAAACAATACTGTATACAGTCGTGCCCCGTTTATCCGAACATCAGATATCCGGAAAACTCGCCTTCCGAACGAAAATTCATTAAAACGAATTCACAATCTTAATGAATAAATAAAATACTGCTGTATTATTTCTTTCCGAGTCGTTTCATGGTAATCTGTTTTGTATCAAACCATCTGTCATGTGACCAATTTCCATTGCGGCCACAACACACATTGCTGTTTTCGCTAATTCGGCGATGGGATTTGGCTCATTATTTAATCATGTTTTGGGAAATCCATTACAGCGACAGTTAAGTATGATTCTTTATGCTACTATCAGTCGTCATTTTAAGATTCCTGTAGATTTCTGTTTTCAAAAGCGCGAAAATAAAACCTGCGCGAAATATAATACGTTTACAGTATTTGTTATTTGTTGATCAATCAATCAATAAAGAATACGTCCGAGGCTTATTATGTTTGTTTGTTTGTCTTTTTCCATATGGTCCCCGGTTCAGATATCCGAAAATTCGTTTATCCGAACAATTTAAAGAAAAACACAAGTGTTCGGATAAACGGGGCACGACTGTATTCATGGGGGCAGTCTATTTCACTGATGAACCTGTTCCCGAAACCAGTACATTTTGTTACCATCATACCACTTTCATGACTTTGCCAGACGCCCGCTGGTGCACAATGCAGCAGGAGTGCTGGAAGTCACATGACTTGCATGGCGACAGTTTAATGACGGTTGTCGCCATATGTTCTATGAGTCCAACAGTTGTGTCGTCATGGAGATCACGATGTACTAGACACACGGTCTGGGAGATCTCACAATCTGAAAATTAAAATTGTCGATTAAAAGAGGTACACAACATGAAAATGTTTCCAAGGTATTCTACTTTCATGACAAGATCAACTAGATAAAAAACATAGATGATGATAATAATAATAATAAACTTTCTTATACAGTGCAAAACTCAAAACTCTGTCTTTTTGTGTTTCTCTTTTTTCCTCACTTATAAAAATTTCTTTTCTGACCATCGTCCTGATGAAGGAAAACTCGTACCTTTAATTTTGGCACTCCTTACTGCATGTAGGTTCTGGCATGTGTAAGGTGGGGGTCGGTTCAAGATGTGTAGAGTCAGCGAGTCTATCACAAGTCCCACACACTTAATCCCAGGGGAAATAACACCTTCAACAATCTTGAGAAATTCCCCATCAATAGAGGGTGACCCCCCACGCTGCCATCCCAATGGGTCATCGCTGCAGTCAACAATCTCAACTCTGAAAAATTAATATAACTGCATCATCTTGGGACAATTCATCTGGTTGCAATATCAAACAGAGTTATGTCCCCTGGACTGTCTGATCATGTGGTTTTAGATCAGTTGGTAGTCCACAATGTCCAAGCAACCTTGATCCTGGACAAAGGGACCGTTCATAATTTAGGGCGGGGGTGGGGGTTGGGGGTGTGGGGTGGCATGTGATGATGCTTTTATGGAGAAGCATGAACATTGTGAATGACCCTCCTAACATTTATGTACAAAGTAAGTGACCCTACTGCATGTCATGTACAAAATCAATGACCCTCCCCTCCCCAGAGGTACAGATAAGCTGCGTATCTGCGTAAATTACACAAATATGTATGTGAAAACTCAATTCCTATTAAGTCTATTGTGTACAAGTACACTTGATTTTTTGTAAATACTAAATAAATTTGATCTTGCATGCGTACACACAAAAGTGTCAAATCTTAGCTTGCGTACCAGTGGATAGGTAACATAGGTATACTGAGAGGCTAAATTTCAGGACATGAACTTGGCAACATGCAGTCTTTCCTATCGTTTCTCATACTATAGATCAACTATAGATAACAAACATGTGAACCAACATTTAAACTTAATCATATTTTTACGATTTATGGAAAATGGCAAAATACCCAATTGAGTTTATGTGAGGTGGGTACAATTTATTTGGTTACTCAAAGGAAAATTAGGATACCCAAAAGAGATGAACACAAGTGAGTACACAACTCAATGACCATTGATGACCCAAAAAGTTATCTGTAGCTCTGCCTCCCCATAATTTTTAAGCACAATTATTAATATTATTTATGTACAAAATTGCTGACACCCTCCCTTCCCCCCTTACACGTACAAAATCGATGACCCCCTACCTCCCCAGAACAAAATGGCTGACCCCTTTAAAATCATCATCTCCCCATCCCCCCACCCAAGCTATAAATTATGAATAGTACCTAACATCTAGTCTCTGAAATGAACATATTTTACATGAAAACAAACAATTCTACAACTGTGTTAAAAAAATATACAAAAGAGACTTTCCTCATTTTCAGAGACTAAATATATCAGATGAGCTATAATTGCTTGGAATTTCAAATATAAGTGTACAATTGTCTGGGAGAGAGGTGGAGTGAGTCTCACCATGTGCAAATACTAAACACAAATGACAGCTAGAGAGTAACTGAAAATTCAAACTCTGTCCTAGCCTGTGTATTCAGCAGATTTGTACAGACCCTAAACTGTGGTAATCTAAACTTGCCACATATTCTAGACTAGTCTGTCACACCGACCCTGAAGCAAGTATATCTAAGAAAGCAAGTCAAGAAAATGTTCCATGTCTACAGAAAGTCTGTGCTCCTTTTTTTATATTTATAATTTTGAACAACAAGGAGAGTTCTATGGATATACACCTTCTTTAATATGATATGAGCGACGTTTCGGTGTAGCTACTAACACCGTTATCAAGCAAATGATGTACAATACTAGATGCAAGGCATATTTATATACATAGTAAAGTTGAACAGTAAGTGATGATGTTTACACAATTAATGAGGTAGATGTACAAGGTGGTGGATGTTTACACAAGAGGCCAATAGTTACACAAACATAGTAAGCTATGGGGGATTAAGGGAGGAAGCCAGTTTTATGACAGACAGGAGAATAATAGGATTAAGATTGCTTGGTGATGAGTTGGTTGTAGGCAGTGGGGATGTAATATCCTTGGTCTCTGTTCATGGCCGGTTGGAGTCTCTTGATGTGAATGGCTTCTGGTAGCTTTCTGATCTTGTAGTGGGTGTGATTGCTGGTGATTACATTGATGCTGTTCCATAGGATGTTGTGGTCTGGGTGAGCTTGGGTGTGGTCAGAGATGGCGGATTTAGAGTCTTTCTTCTTCACAGAGGCTTGATGTTCTTTGATTCTTACAGGAAGGGGTCTTGAGGTTTCGCCAATGTACGAGTCGCCACAGTCACACTTTATGTGGTAAACTGTGCCTGAGGGGTCTTCTTTAGTTGTGGGGGTTGGTCTGCCATTGGCTTTTAGGAGGTTCTGTATAGTAGTACCTCACATCAAGAGACTCCAACCGGCCATGAACAGAGACCAAGGATATTACATCCCCACTGCCTACAACCAACTCATCACCAAGCAATCTTAATCCTATTATTCTCCTGTCTGTCACATCACTGGCTTCCTCCCTTAATCCCCCATAGCTTACTATGTTTGTGTAACTATTGGCCTCTTGTGTAAACATCCACCACCTTGTACATCTACCTCATTAATTGTGTAAACATCACTTACTGTTCAACTTTACTATGTATATAAATATGCCTTGCATCTAGTATTGTACATCATTTGCTTGATAACGGTGTTAGTAGCTACACCGGAACGTCGCTCATATCATATTAAAGAAGGTGTATATCCATAGAACTCTCCTTTTGTTCATCACACCACCTTCTAAATGCCACTTAAACAAATTTATAATTTTAATTTAAAAACTTTTATTTTCTGTAAAATATTTTCATTTCAGAAACTAGCTGTCAGTCTAATACTAGATATGCATCCATGGGTTGAAATGGCTATATTTGTTTCTGGGTCTGCATAACAGACTACCTTGATTTAAACACAATAAAAAACTAATCAGCCACATGTGCAAAGGAAGGAATTGGTGCAGGGTGAACCTGGTAGGTTCGTGAGTGAGTGAATGAGAGAGTTTAGTTTTACGCCGCACTCAGCAATATTCCAGCTCTGTGGCGGCGGTCTGTAAATAATCGAGTCTGGACCAGACAATCCAGTGATCAACAGCATGAGCATCGATTTGCACAATTGGGAACCGATGACGTGTCAACCAAGTCAGCGAGCCTGACCACCCGATCCTGTTAGTCGCCTCTTACGACAAGCATGGGCTACTGAAGACACATTCTATTACTTTTACAGTCGGGTGTATCCATGTATGAAGGTGTGTGTTTGATGGAGTGAGTGAGTGAGTTTAGTTTTACGCCGCACTCAGCAATATTCCAGCTATATGGCGGCGGTCTGTAAATAATCGAGTCTGGACCAGACAATCCAGTGATCAACAGCATGAGCATCGATCTGCGCAATGGGGAACCGATGACATGTGTCAACCAAGTCAGCAAAACTGACCACCCGATCCCGTTAGTCGCCTCTTACGACAAGATAGTCGCCTTTTTATGGCACGCACATGGGTTGCTGAAGACCTATTCTACCCCGGATCTTCACGGGTCGTGTGTTTGATGGAAGTGGTTTCAGGGACGGTGGGGTCAGGTTGGCAGGTGTGCATTTGTAACCCCACTCTGACACAGCACACTGACTCCAAGTCTAGCAATCCCTGTTTTACTCCTTTGATGCCAACCACAGGGTAACAATTGATACCTCTTATTATCTTGTAATATGACACAGCCAGGTGATCAAACCACAGCCATTACAAAATCCAGAGGTGCCAACCCTTGTCAGTTCCAAATAGAAACATTGCGTGGGGAAAAATAATATTTTCAGGAAAATACACATCACAGGTGATGTTCTTAACAGTAATATCATGCTTCTTAGTGTAAGGGTATAGGGGTAAGAACTGTAGTATGCGAGTTAACTATTACAAATTCTACTTTTGTACGCTTATAATTTTGTTTATATGTTTTTTCATAACAGCAATGTATATTATATGTCATGAATAAATTTAAAAAAAAAAAAAAAAAAAAAAAATCTACTTAGCCCTCCAGCTTATAGTTAGTTTGAAGCGTTTTCGATAAATTTCCATGTATAACCTTAGAATCAGATATCTTGAGTGTTTTAACAGATGGAAGTGTCATCATGGTTATTTATGATGTTTCTGCCATAGAATCACCAATATTTAGGTCTTGATAATTTCAAATTATCACATGCATAAATGATGTAAATGCACACTTTCATTGAGATGATCATACTGACAAAACTTCGGGTATAAAATCGTAATGAATACAAAATTTCATCTAGGTTGGCAACTCTGCATCATCTTGGAAGACATTTATCCACTTGACCATGGAGGCAGTTCGGAAAGCTTGATAAACCACAGACTTGTTTTTTAAAGGGCCACCATGATTATAGTGAATTATGCCTGGCTGGACAAAAGAACATTCACTCACCTCTGTTGAAGGTCTTCAGGAAGAGTATCTCTAAAGTACCTTGACGGCTTTTCATATGTTATTAAAACAACCTTTTCCAGCCTGAAAATGAAATAAAACAAAGAACAGGGCTCGATTTAAGAGATGTTAACCTACTTGCACCAGGTGCAACCTAAGATAAAGACCCAGTTGCACCAGCCAAATTCCAGTTGCAACGTAGTGTGTTAAAATGTTTCGGTGCACATAAACCTTAATCAGTGATGTAGTACCCATGAAGCCATAGCAACACTGAGACACAGCTGATCCCTGTGTACAAGAGCTGTCATAGGCGAGACATGTATATGAATAGCAATGTTTCATTGCCATAGCTATTCAAAGTTTAGAAGAAAAAAGGGCTGGCATATTTATGCATATGTTTGATTTATTGTTGATTTATTGTTCAAAAATTCACTTGCACCTTGTGCAAGATAGACTCATAGCTAGGTTGCACAAAACTAGAAATGGTGGTAGAAAAGTAGGAACAGTGTATGAAACAAAACAAAACAAAGCAGAGTGATGCAGAAGTATATATATATAAATATGGATATCAGTGCATCAAACTGAAATGAATGTAACTTTATCTTATGAAGACATGATTGTAATAAGTAAACTTACAACATTCCTTTGCATGCTTTTTAATAAATTAATACCATTTTTTATCTGCTCAATTCCGATGATCATGGTTATGCATTTCCTTGAACTTCAACCTTTCTGTTTTACCCTGATGTTTTACCCTGATGTTTTACAATGAAAATATACGTGTTGGTCAAGTTGGGAAAAGGAATTTAATTGCCCTTTGGCACTTGGGCAAAGAATGAAGACTGTTGGTATTAACATGATTAAGTTTGAAACTAATGTAACTGAAAGATGATGCATATAGTGTGTTTGTAAACTGGAGATGAATAACTTTCTTCACTCTGCAATTCTGTACATCTGTCCATAGATGTTGTTTCAGTTGTAACACATGATATACTTGGGATTACACTTTCTCAGTAAAGTACAGATTTTGGGCACATAGAATCTGGAACTGGTATGACAGTGATTACCATAAATAATTGAGATCTTTAATAATAAAACTTTCTCACCTTTGAGCAAGGCAGTTGACAACACTGAGGATGACATGACGTCCTGGCAGATCACAGCTATCTGAAACAACGTTGCAAGACCCTCTTTATCTCTCGTGCTTCTATCACAAGTTACTTGATATTTCATAATGAACAACCTGTGGATAAGCATAAATTCAACAGTAAAATCTGTGAAAATTGTTATCTTGTTTACAGGCAAACAGCATTTGTCTTCATTTAATGTAACTTAAAATAAGGTGGAAATAATATTGTCATTTGTTATTGTTTGCACTCAACAATATTCCCGCAATATCATGTATCTGGCGGTCTAACCATTGAAGTGGTCAGATAACGATTAATCAATGTTAATCACTTCAGGTAATGCACCCTTCAGAAGGGAATATACTGCACACGATGTACAATCTGCAACTCGGCTTCACAGCTGAATAAACTAAACACAATGTCGACATGATCATGATGGACGAGGACTCCGTTCAAGAGAAAGCCTCGGAATCGTGCAAATGGTGACAAATTTGCTAAAGCGATATTCAATCGGATTCGTCCAGATTTCAGTATCAGATTCGTCGAGATTACAGCATCCGGACTCCATATAATTTCGGGAGCTAGTACATGTAACTGAACACTGTACCTTCAATTAAAACCAGTGGAGATCTTTCCTGTCCCCTCAGGATGTCGCCCAGCATGGCTGAATGTAACACTCCCACACAATCTGTGCCAAGTTTACATCATGACAGCAATCGATAATAATTCACGCCTTCTGTGGAGGCCGCCATTTTGTAACTCCGCACTCACGGTATATACTAAAGTATTAACTGTCAGGCGAAATAAGCTTCAACAAATTCAGCAGCACAAATGATGGTGATATCTGTATTTATCTGGGCATTGAGATCTGGGCCTCCTTTCACAAAGCACTTACTTAAGGTTTAACTTCCAGTCAGGTTAAAGGTTGTAAGGTTAACCTTAGTAAAGGTTGCTTCGTGAAAGGACCTCCTGGCCTTTTTCCTGACTAAGTATCTAGATAGGCCTTCTGGCTACCCACAAAATGATGAAAACTTTGAAGTTGTAAATACATCTAACCACCTCACAAATTAATAAGGTAGAACCGCTGAACGATTTAGCCATTAATATTCAGGAGAAATGAGGTAGTTGGGTACTTTGGTCAGGCAGAGTGAGTGAGTTTAGTTTTACGCCGCTTTTAGCAATATTCCAGCAATATCGAGGCGGGGGGCACCAGAAATGGACTTCACACTGTGAGCCATGTGGGGAATCGAACCCGGGTCATCGACGTGATGAGCGAACGCCTTAACCACTAGGTTACCCCCACCGTCCTTTGGCCGAGTAGAAAGCGCTTCCAGGGACCGGATGGTCGAGAGCGAAAGATCAACACGGCTCAAATCCATGTAAACAATGGAATAAACCGGATGGAACCGAATGAAACTGGAATCATCAGTGCCCGGCCCATGAAATCTCACCCCTTTCCACAAAGCATATACCTACATAAGTGCTTAAATGAGTAAGGAAACCACTGACAATGGTTTCCCTTTGACCAAACTCCTTCCCAGCGTGTGACACCTTCGTGATATATATCACCGCTGCCGTTAAGCTGGTTCACTTACGTAATATTTCACGTGGACGTCCGAATTGTCTTTCTCCAACATGTGGTGGTGGAATTGGGTTTAACGTCGTGCTTGAGAACATTTCGCTCATATGACGACGTGCATGCGTGTGTATGTGTATGTGCGGCTGCTTGTACTAGCCCAGACTTAAGCTGGTTTTATCGTGCTAGCCAACTGAGATACCATGCCGCAGTGAAGCATGAATACCCCACTCAGACACATTATACTGACTCCGAGCCGACCAGTCCTTGTTGTACCCATTAATGCCGAGCACCAGGCAGGGACCAACAAGTACCGTATTTTAACGTCCTTCTCCTACATGTGATTGGTTTTGTTCTAATATGGTTTTTGCATATGAGACCGTGGTCCAAAGGTATAATGTTCGGGTCTCTGGACGATGCTGTACAGACAAGAGTCACCAGGGCCAACTATGAATATCTTTTATTGGTGATGGGTGGTATGACTGTACCTGCCTGCATATAAGAATGAGAAGGTCTCCCACTGAGGGACAGGTACACACTCTCACATTTAACAACAAGTACAATACAATTAGGCCAATCATAGCAACATTGCATGAATATTACATTGCTACATCAATGCACAGTATGTGACTGTACCAACACATGTGCCAATTATGACTTTACATAACCAAAATGGAAAATTGTCATGGCCGACGCTAACAAGCACATGGCCATTGTTAAGTTTATAAATTGACTAGATATATAAATGTTAATTTAAATTAAAGTATGTTCTAGTTGATAGTTAATAGTTGATAATTGTAATAAGTGTTTTAACATGTTTAATAAATTTAGTAAACCTATGCCTAACTTATCTCCAACTGAAACTGAAAAGTTGACTCACCTGCATATAAGAATGAGAAGGTCTCCCAGTGAGGGACAGGTACACACTGAGGAACAATCTACAGGTGAGCAACAAGAAAACTATGGCAAACCAATAGGCCCAAGCACAGCCAAGAAGAGAATTGTTTGGCACAAGAAACCAATCAGTGGCAGGTAAGTAGCAATAAGGTGAGTCTACTTATAGAAAAGAAGAATTGAAGTGAATTGGGATGATTCCCAATTCAGAAAAAGAAGAGGGTGAAAATTAGAAGAACCGAGGAACCAAGATGGTGACCAGTGTTAGTAAACAATCAAGACCAGACAATGACATGACATGACATGACATGACTGCTATTACAGCACCCACATGGCACTTCAGGTAATTTCAATATTTTATAACAAGGTAGTTTGTTTTTGGTTTATTTATTTTATGTTTTTTTAATTTTTTTAATAAAATAAAATATGAATTAACATATGCCCAAACTATATACAAAATACCACACTTTGTTTTAGCACACGGCTACACATAGAGACACCAAAAGGGTAACGTGGTAGTCGGGAGTGGTGTCAGTCTTTCAAATAATCCATGGGCCAGCCGACTGTGATGCATAATCATCCCTACATCCGAATGCAGAGCCATATATGAGGTTCGTTTCGTTTCAGGACAAAGGGAGGGAATCGTGTTTGTTCACTAGTTATCTCCCTTGCCTGAATTCTGCACGATGTTTCTCTTTAAAGGTCACATGCAACATAAAACACAAATTTACAGATTCTGATACCTCTCGGTATTGACTTACAGATACAAATCATCACACATGCAAATTCAAAGTTGAAAAATAACGCGATGAAAAAAACCCCCGCGAAATCGGAGTTCAAACGATTCACTAAAAAAAACCTAGCTGGCGCAGCTTGGAAGGGGGATGTCCGGATTATAATGTCGTGAGTAGGAGTAGTCTAATCAAAACAAATAGTAAATAATCTACTCATTACATAAAAGAACCTTGTTAGGATCTAGATCTACTCAGCTATGTGTCAACCATTGAGGCGTTCGACATTTCAAGACGGAAAACCTTCGCTGGCGGTGAATACTCGGTGAAGGCTTTGATGTGAGCTATAATTTATAATGTTTTGTTGATATCTCACAGGCGCGAGCTTTTTATATGTTATGACAGTAGATTACCGATTTAACTGTTGATATAATTTCATTTGTCTATTTCACCACCCGTTCTTCTTTCCGAGTCACTTTCTCAGTTCGATACTTAAAAGCAATGTCATTATTTAGCGTTGACAGAATTTCTAACTGTTATATAGATATGCCGTTGTCACAGACAAAACTCAATGTCTGTTTTATTGACACCTATGTGTCTGCCTGCCAGTCTGCTGATGACAATATTCAATACACAATTTCGATCACTGACCACATGCAATTTGAACTTAACACCTATCAGGCTATACACCATAAACAAAACGCATTGATTTATGGCCCGAGTTCGGTCTCTGTCACATAATGTAATTACACAGACAGGCGGGATGTCTGTTTGCAAAATGTTATACACAAAAAATGAGCATGTATTTACAAAACCCAACATCTCTGTACACACACACACACACACACACACACAATGAGCCGTGAGGGCTTCGGCAAAGGAACCAGCCAATGAAAGGCTTTGTTACACTTGAGTGCACACCCACCCGCTCTGACTGGGTTCGATATCCCGGTTGCTTCGTTTCGAAATAATGCACTTTTGATTTGCGATTGTACGCTTATAATTTTGTTTATATGTCTTTTCATGATCAACAATGTATATTATACGTCATGAATAAGTGTTAATTGTGTTTTAATTATGTTCGATTTTTTGGTTGCATGTGACCTTTAAGCTTCACGCAACGTCGTCTCCAAAGGAGGTTAACCTGCTTAACTAATCGCATAACATGATTGAGAGTAATGTCCCTTTGGCCATACTTTTCCTCTCTGCAAATAACCCGGTTACTGTACACGGAGATGTGCACATTGTTCGTGGTGGTATTGATAAGCTTACGAGTGAGTGTGTGAGTTTTACAGTTTTAAATGAGCAAGGTTTACGCCGTTTTAGGCAATATTCATGCAGTGTCACGGCAGGGGACACCTGAAATGGGTTTCACACATTGTACCCATCCGGGGAATAGAACCCAGGTTTTCGGTGGGACGAGCCAAAACTTGAACTACCAGGTACCCCACTTTTGAGCGACTTGGATCCATCCAAAATAAGTCGAAGGATACGCTTCTATGGGTTGTCTCCCTTCCCCCTTTAATTTCCTTCAGAGGGTTTCTAGGTTATACTACACTAAATGAGAATCGCTTGCTCACTGAGCGTGAAGTGTATGTAAACAAATGAAGAGATAGAGACATGTGACAGCTGTGATTGGATGAAATAGTGTAAGATGTTTATGTTTTTTAAAAGCATATCCAACCAGCAATTAAAACTGACCGCAATTTTAAGTATTCAGTGCTGTGATTTTCATCACCATGACTTATGCTTATTGTGTGTAAAGATATTTTCCAGTAGGTGACATTTGGTGCGGATCTGGGGTTGATGTGTTCCGCTTCCTGTGCTCGCAAAACAAGCCGGACAAGTTGGCCATATAGTGTGTTTTTATGGTAGTTTAAAGGCCAGAGTGTACCCATGTGCACATGGAATGGCTGTTGATAGCCTGGATTATTTAAAAAAAAATATAAGGCTACTATAGAAGTCTATGGGAAAACATGGGTGGTGTGTAACCTCTAGTCTCTCGTACAGACCCTGAAGCAAATATATCCAAGAAAGCCCACGCAAGTCTAGAAAATGTGGCAAGTCTAGATTTCCTCAGCTTCAGGGTGAGATCCAGTTGTCCAGCCATAGGAATATCAAGAGATGCTACCCTTAGCTGGTATCCCTGCTTGTTCTCAAAATAGATTTGGCGACACTTGATACTCATTACCCCCAAATCTGCCCACACCACTGGCAGTAGGACCAAGAGGCGGTGGGGGCAGTAACTATTCCTGTCACACACAATTAAAGCAGTAGTGGGTGATAAGAACCTTTGTACATGTTGTGAAATTCCAAGAAATTATCCCTCTGCAGATTTGTTTAGTCTCTGAAAATGAAGAAAGTCTCAGGGCTCCTTTTCATTATATTATATATTTTTTTACTATGAACATTTTTCGGTAAAATATGTTCATTTCAGAGACTAGCTGTTAGTCTAGAGGGTTTCATACGCCGCTTTTAGCAATATTCCAGCAATATCACGACGGGGGACACCAGAAATGGGCTTCACACATTGTACGCATGTGTGGAATCTAAACCCGAGTCTACAGCGTGACGAGCGAACGCTTTAACCACTAGGCTACCCCACCGCCCCTGAACACATTATACAGAAACAACATGAGCGACAGTGAGTTTTTAAGTTTTAAGAAAATGTTCCATGTGGTTTATGGGGAAGTGAGCTCGAGGTTGGGGTTGTCAGTCACCTTCCATAATTAATCACCGATCCCGTTGCACCAAACACACGCATGCGCATGCACACACACAAATCAGACAAATTCCGAGTGATGAACATGTCTATAGTTTATTCAGTAAATGATAGATGGTTTACTAGTTATAGCTTAGAAAACCTTCATATGTTTTGACAAAATCAGCTATTTGTAAACTGCTTTAACCTCGTTTTAATATTTGCATATCTGAACAACTACTAGACCAATTGTATAAACCGCTTGAGAGGGTTGTATTTGACGATATATTGCAGCTTAGCCATCACAAACATACAGGTGTCCGATTTAAGGCAGTGTATGAAATATGGCCCGTCCGACCGCCCGAGACTGGTTATATTTCAGACGGACGGTCTAGATTTACAGCTAGCCAGCCCCATGGTCTGGTAAAAAGATTAGATGTCATATACATCTGAGTCATATTTTGTTGTCTGGTCTGGTTAAATACATTTTGGACTGGTAACATTTTTAAGTTGATGTCTGGCTGGGGTTTTGGCTTTTTTCATACACTGTTAAGGTAATTCTTTCTTTCGTAATTTCAGTCATTTTCAAGAAAATAATCTGTCGCCAAAGCTGTTATGTTCAAAACCATATAAAAAGAGTAAAATAAAAGGTGTAATCAATTTACGGCGCTTAATGAGAATTTCAGAAAACATGATTGAAAAAACATCAGGCTGATATTTAAATACTCTCCTATTCCATTATAATGATTAAGATTAAACAACAGAAAATAGAAATCTTGAAATTAAATAATGACTAATATCTTTTGTCTTGCTGTGTTAGTAGCATGAACAAAATACTAACGGTAACCTACAATCCGTTTCCATCATGAACAATCAGTACATGTTTTTATAAGATTATATTGAGGAGTTTCCCCATGTAAGTATTATGGAAACTGTTGAGCCATGTTCTGATCACTAGAATCATAGGAGCTGTATAAAAACGAATATCTCCCTCTTATTTCTGGAAAATGCCAGCATTCGGTTGTTCTCGCGCACTGTCTGTTCGATCAGGGTCTGCATCTGCCGACGAATCTCGGGTACAGGCAGACTTCCCGGATGTGGTACCTGTTCAGGAGCCAGCACAGGAATCTCTCCAGACCCAGACCATAGCCGCCATGGGGACAGGAGCCGTATTTTCTCTGTAATAAGATGCAATATTATTTCAAGGTAGTATTTAACATCAATAATAACATCACTCGATATATGTTATGTATATATATGTGGTTAACTCACTTAAAGCACTCACTATATGTTATGTATATATATATGGTTACATCAAAGAAATCACTCACTATATGTTATGATATATATATGGTTACATCAAAGATGAATTTCTCCACTGACTTGGGGGAACCAACTGAAAACCTTACCCACATGGATTGCATGAGGATCATGCATCAAATTGCAGAAAAGCATGTGCAAACATCCTGCATGTGAATAGCTGCGGGTAAAGTTTTAAGAACCGGCCAAGTTTCACCGAGTTTCAACGTTTATTGAACTCATGAAAATAATCTTTTCAATGTTACGAATTTGATTTACAATACACCAGTTCATGGGTAAACCTTTAAACAGTATGGAATATTTTGCAAAATCTAGTTTAGAACAATTAACTGAAGTAAGTGGCTACATTTACACTAGTGAGTCTAAACTTTTGATAGGTAGTTTATTCTGTTTTGGATGGTTTTTTTTACTAAAATGTCAGGTCAGTTACTTGTGGTCAGCAGGGATTCCAAACTCCCTTACCTATTGCTTAGGTACTGAGAGTACTGAGATACTAGCTAGATTACTTTAGTTCCGCAAAATATATGCGATTTTCATTGGAGTGTATTCTTAGCCAGCTTACCACCTGGAATATACAATGACAGAAAGTTGTCTCACCTGGTCGATGTACCAGTAGTAGGGTGTGACGTCAATACCCTCTCTCTTGAACCAAGCCTCCAGCTCATCCTGATCGGATATCCTCATGGATCCACCGATTATCTCCCCTACATTGGGCATCAGGAGGTCAACCTAAACAGTAGCAGTAATGTCAAAGTAATTTCTAACATATGGAGGTGTTCGTTATACATGGTGAACGGAATCTGCTGTCAGACAACAGTCAAACCTCGCTTATCTGGACATGCGTTTTCTCTAATTTTGTCTGGATAAACGAAGTTCCGTGTATCTGAATGTATCTGATGTTTTTTGTCTATTGTTTAATGCCACTCTCAGAATATTCCGGCTAAAATCGATCAACGCAGTTGACAACCGATGACATGTGTCAACCAAGCGAGCCTGACCGTTCGTCGCCTCTTACGAGAAGCATGGGTATCCGAAGACCATATCCAATTCGGAACTTCACGGGCAGTACCTTATGCAAATGGTGAATACCGGAGGTACTGCCCTCTAAAGGTATTTGAGTGAGGGATAACTAGGGCAGGGGACACCACAAATTTGCTTCTACATCATGGAACGAGACACACTCATGAGTTATTTAACGGCATGTGAAAGATTCGAGACCGGTCTCTTCGGTGTGACTGGCAAACGACTGAACCGCTAGGCTATTCTACCGTCCATTGTGGTCCACTTACCGAGTCTGTGAGTCTGTGGTCAGCCTGGCTACGTAGCATGTAGAAGGACTTGATCTCTGCTGGGAAGCGACACAGGAAGATTGGCTCGTTAATCTGGTCCGTCATCTTCCTCTCGGGTGCTTCCGGGATGTCCTGAAAGGGGGGAACGAAGGAGTGAACACGGATTCAGTGATTTAGACTGACTGAGTTTAGTTTTACGCCGCTCTTAGTAATATTCCAGCAATATCACGGCGGGGGACACCAGAAATGGGCTTAACACATTGTGCCCATGTGGGGAATCGAACCCGGGCCTTCGGCGTGACGATCCAACGCTTTAACCACTGGGCTACCCCACCGCCCCCCAGTGATTTAGATTTGATGTAACTCCATACATTGTCCTTATGGTCGACATATGATTGTTTGAGTGTATGTTGTTTTACGCCGCAATCAGTAATAGTCCAGCTATATGGCGGCGGTCTGTAAATACTCGAGTCTGGACCAGGCAGCCCAGTGGTCAATAGCATGAGCATCGATCTACGCTACTGGGATACGATGACGTATGCCTTTAATCAACCTGAAGCTATGTCAGTGCTACAGAGTACAGAGAGGGTTAATCTATGTAACTGTTAAATACCCCACTACTTCCGGCAATGCCTTACAGAGGGGTGTTTACGTTTACACCAGCTCTTAATCTGTGCAAAGAACATCGAACCTTACCTAAGTTGTAAACTTATGTCAAGACCCCTGCTTTTCCTGTTTCGTACATTTTCACATTCGTTGAAATAAGGCTGCTCATAGACATGGACGAGTGAGTTAGTAATTGCTTTTAGCAATACCACGGCGGGTGACACAAAATATTGTACCCATGATGGGAATCGAACCCGGGTCTTCGGCGTGACGCTTTAACCGCAAGGCTTCGCCACCAGCCCTTGACATGGACGAATCCAATAAGTCATGTGTTACTTACATCACCGAACTCGTACCAGCTGCCATCTTCCTTCTTGATGTCATGTTCCTTGAGGTACGTTAGAGCCTCTGTGTACTGCATCCTCCGGAATGGCTTCTTCGGTGGCTGGAAGTCCTGGACAAGAGAGAAAAGAAGCCGTGTGAAGCCTGGCAGTGAGTCTTTTTGTAATGATGGTAATTATTGACATTACTGCTTAATACATATACACTATAGTAGTTGAAGATGTATCAGTTTTACTCCTTTAGAGTTGGGCCGCCTTAGTGTGTGAGTGAGTGAGTGAGTTTTACTCCGCTTTTAGCAATATTCCAGCAATATCACAGCTGGGGTCACCATAAATTGGGCATTTTACACATTGTACCCATGTGAGGAATCGAACCCGGGTCTTCGGCGTGAAGATCGAACACTTTAACCACAAGGCTACCCCACCACCCCTGGGTTGCCTTAAGCTTGTATCTCAGGCTAAAGGACACTTAGAGAAGGTGCAGTTGCCCTTCCTGGCACTCCGCGTTAGGGGTTGGGAAAACAACTGGTCCGCTCGAAGCATACACGCACGCACAATTGAGGAGTTTCCCCATGTAAGTATTATGGAAACTGTTGAGCCATGTTCTGATCACTAGAATCATAGGAGCTGTATAAAACGAATATCTCCCTCTCTTATTTCTGGAAAATGCCAGCATTCGGTTGTTCTCGCGCACTGTCTGTTCGATCAGGGTCTGCATCTGCCGACGAATCTCGGGTACAGGCAGACTTCCCGGATGTGGTACCTGTTCAGGAGCCAGCACAGGAATCTCTCCAGACCCAGACCATAGCCGCCATGGGGACAGGAGCCGTATTTTCTCTGTAATAAGATGCAATATTATTTCAAGGTAGTATTTAACATCAATAATAACATCACTGATAATGTTATGCATCATATATGTGAACTCAATAATAACATCACTCGATATATGTTATGTATATATATGTGGTTAACTCACTTAAAGCACTCACTATATGTTATGTATATATATATGGTTACATCAAAGATGAATTTCTCCACTGACTTGGGGGAACCAACTGAAAACCTTACCCACATGGATTGCATGAGGATCATGCATCAAATTGCAGAAAAGCATGTGCAAACATCCTGCATGTGAATAGCTGCGGGTAAAGTTTTAAGAACCGGCCAAGTTTCACCGAGTTTCAACGTTTATTGAACTCATGAAAATAATCTTTTCAATGTTACGAATTTGATTTACAATACACCAGTTCATGGGTAAACCTTTAAACAGTATGGAATATTTTGCAAAATCTAGTTTAGAACAATTAACTGAAGTAAGTGGCTACATTTACACTAGTGAGTCTAAACTTTGATAGGTAGTTTATTCTGTTTTGGATGGTTTTTTACTAAAATGTCAGGTCAGTTACTTGTGGTCAGCAGGGATTCCAAACTCCCTTTACCTATTGCTTAGGTACTGAGAGTACTGAGATACTAAGCTAGATTACTTTTAGTTCCGCAAAATATATGCGATTTTCATTGGAGTGTATTCTTAGCCAGCTTACCACCTGGAATATACAATGACAGAAAGTTGTCTCCACCTGGTCGATGTACCAGTAGTAGGGTGTGACGTCAATACCCTCTCTGGAACCAAGCCTCCAGCTCATCCTGATCGGATATCCTCATGGATCCACCGATTATCTCCCCTACATTGGGCATCAGGAGGTCAACCTAAACAGTAGCAGTAATGTCAAAGTAATTTCTAACATATGGAGGTGTTCGTTATACATGGTGAACGGAATCTGCTGTCAGACAACAGTCAAACCTCGCTTATCTGGACATGCGTTTTCTCTAATTTTGTCTGGATAAACGAAGTTCCGTGTATCTGAATGTATCTGATGTTTTTTGTCTATTGTTTAATGCCACTCTCAGAATATTCCGGCTAAAATCGATCAACGCAGTTGACAACCGATGACATGTGTCAACCAAGCGAGCCTGACCGTTCGTCGCCTCTTACGAGAAGCATGGGTATCCGAAGACCATATCCAATTGGAACTTCACGGGCAGTACCTTATGCAAATGGTGAATACCGGAGGTACTGCCCTCTAAAGGTATTTGAGTGAGGGATAACTAGGGCAGGGGACACCACAAATTTGCTTCTACATCATGGAACGAGACACACTCATGAGTTATTTAACGGCATGTGAAAGATTCGAGACCGGTCTCTTCGGTGTGACTGGCAAACGACTGAACCGCTAGGCTATTCTACCGTCCATTGTGGTCCACTTACCGAGTCTGTGAGTCTGTGGTCAGCCTGGCTACGTAGCATGTAGAAGGACTTGATCTCTGCTGGGAAGCGACACAGGAAGATTGGCTCGTTAATCTGGTCCGTCATCTTCCTCTCGGGTGCTTCCGGGATGTCCTGAAAGGGGGAACGAAGGAGTGAACACGGATTCAGTGATTTAGACTGACTGAGTTTAGTTTTACGCCGCTCTTAGTAATATTCCAGCAATATCACGGCGGGGACACCCAGAAATGGGCTTAACACATTGTGCCCATGTGGGGAATCGAACCCGGGCCTTCGGCGTGACGATCCAACGCTTTAACCACTGGGCTACCCCACCGCCCCCAGTGATTTAGATTTGATGTAACTCCATACATTGTCCTTATGGTCGACATATGATTGTTTGAGTGTATGTTGTTTTACGCCGCAATCAGTAATAGTCCAGCTATATGGCGGCGGTCTGTAAATACTCGAGTCTGGACCAGGCAGCCCAGTGGTCAATAGCATGAGCATCGATCTACGCTACTGGGATACGATGACGTATGCCTTTAATCAACCTGAAGCTATGTCAGTGCTACAGAGTACAGAGAGGGTTAATCTATGTAACTGTTAAATACCCCACTACTTCCGGCAATGCCTTACAGAGGGGTGTTTACGTTTACACCAGCTCTTAATCTGTGCAAAGAACATCGAACCTTACCTAAGTTGTAAACTTATGTCAAGACCCCTGCTTTTCCTGTTTCGTACATTTTCACATTCGTTGAAATAAGGCTGCTCATAGACATGGACGAGTGAGTTAGTAATTGCTTTTAGCAATACCACGGCGGGTGACACAAAATATTGTACCCATGATGGGAATCGAACCCGGGTCTTCGGCGTGACGCTTTAACCGCAAGGCTTCGCCACCAGCCCTTGACATGGACGAATCCAATAAGTCATGTGTTACTTACATCACCGAACTCGTACCAGCTGCCATCTTCCTTCTTGATGTCATGTTCCTTGAGGTACGTTAGAGCCTCTGTGTACTGCATCCTCCGGAATGGCTTCTTCGGTGGCTGGAAGTCCTGGACAAGAGAGAAAAGAAGCCGTGTGAAGCCTGGCAGTGAGTCTTTTGTAATGATGGTAATTATTGACATTACTGCTTAATACATATACACTATAGTAGTTGAAGATGTATCAGTTTTTACTCCTTTAGAGTTGGGCCGCCTTAGTGTGTGAGTGAGTGAGTGAGTTTTACTCCGCTTTTAGCAATATTCCAGCAATATCACAGCTGGGGTCACCATAAATTGGGCATTTTACACATTGTACCCATGTGAGGAATCGAACCCGGGTCTTCGGCGTGAAGATCGAACACTTTAACCACAAGGCTACCCCACCACCCCTGGGTTGCCTTAAGCTTGTATCTCAGGCTAAAGGACACTTAGAGAAGGTGCAGTTGCCCTTCCTGGCACTCCGCGTTAGGGGGGTTGGGAAAACAACTGGTCCGCTCGAAGCATACACGCACGCACACACAAGCACGCAGCCACACACGGGCACGCACGCACGCACGAAGCCACATGCACGTGCGCAACCACACAAGCAAAACTCCACACATATACAAGCATTCACACATCCACAGACACACAAACGTACAGACAAACACAAGAATTGAAATAGCCAACACAGGCATCCACAGTCATGAGCATGCCTGCACACACAAGCATCCACTCATACAAACATGCAGACACACACAGGCCTACCCACTCACGCACGCACACACACATAAACAAACTGACACACGCGGACATTCACACACGAATCTTAAGTAGGGCCTCTTACTGGGTTCAGTTCATACACGATTTGACCGTACGGGCTCTTCAGCACTCTGTCCACGACGTCGCACACCAAGTCTTCTAGTCGGTCAAGCAGACCGTCGAAGTCGATGAAGGAACACTCACCCTCCACATGAGTGTATCTGGAAGAATGAAAACAATAGGAACTATCAGGACATTCCTGCATAACGATAAACAGGCATACGGACATGGCTCTCCCCTAAGTGCGGGTTAAGCTATACAAGTATAAACACATCCCACCAGTGTTTACAGTGTGGACATGGCTGAATGACTCACTCATTCACTCACTCGCCAACTTCACTCATTCACTCACTCGCCCTCTTCACTGGCTCACTCACTCTCTCACATGCCCACCCACATCACTCACTAAAACTTTCCCATCCACTCACTCATTTAGCTACCCACTTCACTCACTAACTCAAGCACCCATCTACCCACTCATTCACTCACTCACTCACTTACTCCGCGAGGTGGCGCCTTGTCTTGGAGCTCTCGGGCCTGTATGACTGTGCGATACAGAAGACATCCCCCAGAGAGGGCAGGCATGTCTCCAGGTACAGCTGGGAACTCGGGGTCAGGTATGCCTGGGGGGACAACAGAGTGTCATTCATTACCCGAGAAAATATTACAGATGCAATATAATATTTATAGTGATATGATATTTATAATATTCATAGTTTACCAAATTTTCGTTAAATCTTTCATGTTGAAATGATTTACTGTGAGGTAGTTAGTGAGTGAGTTTGGTTATACGCCGCTTTTTGACATATTCCAGCAATATCATGTCGGGGTACACCAGAAAGGAGCTTCACACATTGTACCCATGTGGGGAATCGAACCCCGGTCGTTGGCATGACGAGTGAACGCTTTAACTACTAAGCTACCCCACCGCACTTCACCACATTTTTGTGACAACACAAATCGCACACAGTTAAACATAAGTTTGTCAATCAGAACTGAGGATGTTGGTAATTTATCTTTGGATCAGGTCAATCATATTTTGAAATTCCCTGTAAACAATTTCTTCACGGTTAGTTTGTTTATTAATTTCAGTTACGATGTAATAGAGAAAAGTTGATTCCTTTGCGTCTGAGAAACCTGTCTTTTGTACAGGAGTAAAGTGGAATTTCATCCTTGAACTGTATCATTTTTATTTGTTTAGTTTAAGGAGCCGCCTAAAGCATTCAAATTTTTCAAGATGAGTTTCTTAATTAATTTCTGTAATGAATTACAAGTGAGTCTGTCAGGAAAGGACCGTGGGTTCGAACCCCTTATATTGTGTCTTCGTCATTACGATGGCCGTGCGCCAGGGTTTCACAAAAATAGTACATTCTTAGACTTGGGTATGGTGAGTTAGTGAAAATTGTCAAGCTACTAATGTTACTCTTTGCTGCTTCACAGAATATATTTTTGTATATTTGTCTCACGTTCAGAGGGTAGATATAAATTGTGAGGTATCATTTTTAAAACAAACAAGAAAGTGATGCTTTTAAGATTATTTCTTCATTTCGACCATTGAGTTACAGCTTTTGAAAAATGAACCCTTAAACACTGGTGGAGACATTCACCAATTTAGGGTGGATAAATTTCTGATATGTATAACTCACGTTTTCCCCTCTCAGCATCATGTGTCTGTTGTCCAACTGCACATCCACGTGGACCTCCTGGTGAAACACACAATAAACATTTAATAAACAAATAATAAACACACAGTGATTACATCATTCATGAAGAAATGATAAATCATAAAACATTAAATTAACGAAAACATCCCCCAAATAAAATACCCACAGTGAAATAATATTAACATATTTATTATCTAAAAATACAAATGTATTAAATACATATATATTAATAAAAAAATATTAAAATGCATAATAAACACGAGACAATTACGATAAACATTTTAAGAACGACGATAAACATGTTACTGTCAGGTCTGTACCAGTACAAATAAGGATGAAAGCCTTGGTTGTGATCGATATATATTTCAATTCAATAGTTGACTACTGCCTTTTGCCACTGGCCGTATGCTTCAAAAGTATTGATAATGACTATCGGTAAAGAATTATTTGGGCCTCGGGACATTGGTAATGTCTTTGAATCCGAGTAAATATTTTGGTCTTGTTTCAAACCATATTGCTATAGAACAACTTTGAACCTAGCCCAAAGCTATTGATTGAAACATGATTATGGTGTTTTTACTTACTAAAGAAGCCTGGTTAATATGTACTACTCAAACAAAGTTGAGAGTAACAGATTATTTCAGATAACTTTCTATTTTTGAGAGATTAACTATAGTAACAAATGATTCATTAACAAACGTGATATGACAACATCTGATATTCTTTCATTTCTTTTGAGTTGAATACACAATTTATCCTCAGCATTTGGCCTCTATTTTCGGGACAGATTGGGATATTGTACCTCATTCAGCAGGTTGTCAGCACCGCCTGCCGGGGATGTTCCAATCAGTTCCCAGTAGTCTGCATATAGCTCATGACTATCCGGTGCCTGAAACAGGGTAACAAAAAGATCAGAATTCTTGTGATGGCCACCATATTTTATCATTTATCAGCTTTTGCAGTTGCTGAAGTGTACGACATCACGATAATCAAGCACCAAACTATCTATCTTGAATTGTGTTATTGTAAGAAATATTAAGTTCATTTAAACATATACTGAACAACATTAGAAACGCACCACACTAAAATGCACCGAAGATGATCAGATATCATGGGTACATTTCAGTCTGACAGGGATATTTCGTATTATATGGGTGGTGCGTTTCTAATGTTGTTCAGTATAGTTTTAAGCCTACACAAGTTATGTCCCTTCAAATTTCGTTCGATAAAATGTTACTATTCGTATGTGACAATATTCATGTAACGATTTGCGCTCCATACGGTGGAGAAATAGAAGAGAAACAGATAAAAACGCTTGAAGGAAACACCAAGGAAATCTACACGACCATTTGCCAAGTATTATGGGATTGTACGGTCCATGTGAATCCGATTTACCCTTCAGATTTTAGAGGTGCTTAATTATAGCATTTTCTGGAACTGTTGGTGCATATCACAGTAGACAAAACTGAACTTGATCAGCGGCAATATAATCATGGACGATTCTGTCAGATATGTACTGGAATCTAAATATGTTGTACAGAAAATATATCGAGGAGACTGATGAAGAATGATTTAGAGCACAACAACCATCAATTCAAGTCCCTTGTGTTCATTAAGCCCCCACTTGGGGTGAGTGAGTATGGTTTTACGCCGCTTTAATATAGCAATATTCCAGCAATATCACGTCGGGGGACACCAGAGATGGGCTTCACACATTGTACCCATGTGGGGAATCGAACCCCGATCTTCGGCGTGACGAGAGGACGTCTTGACCATTAAGCTACCCAACCGCCTCGTGCCCACGTGTAAACGTGATTCTCTTGCATTGCATTGCTTGACGCGTTCCTATGCATCATTGTGTCGTTATATTACATCTGTTAAATGAAAATGAAAGGGATGGGTGGGGTTGTCCCCCTTGGAACGTAGGGAGGTGGGGTTGTCCCCCTTGAAACGTAGGGATGGGTGGGGTTGTCCCACTTGGAACGTAGGGATGGGTGGAGTTGTCCCCCTTGGAACGTAGGGATGGGTGGGGTTTCCCTCTTGGAACGTAGGGATGGGTGGAGTTGTCCCCCTTGGAACGTAGGGATGGGCGGGGTTTTACACCTTGGAACGTAGGGATGGGTGGGGTTGTCCAACCTGGAACGTAGGGTTGGGTGGAGTTGTCCCCCTTGGAACGTAGGGATGGGTGGGGTTGTCCAACTTGGAACGTAGGGATGGGTGGAGTTGTTCCCCTTGGAACGTAGGGATGGGCGGGGTTGTCCCCCATTGGAACTTACGGTCTTCCCAGCTGGCAGCTCTTTGATGACGCCAAACACAGCAATGGTAGCCTCTGTTGCCAAGGTCAAGGCCTCGTAGGTCTGGCACTGGATAAGACACGTGATATAATCAACACGCATACCGTCTCTTCATCGTTTATACGTCGGCATGCCGTTCTGACGTCGTGTTTACTGATATTTGATGCTCTAGAACATGTTTATACGTACCTTCCATCAAGTAACACTGTAGGTCATGTTGCAATAAAGCAACACAGTACGTCTTGTAACAATCAAATTACACTAGTACTGTAGGTCATGTTGCAATAAAGCGACAAAGTATGTCATGTAGCAATAAATCGAAACAGTACGTCTTGTAACAATCACGTAACACTGTAGGTCATGTTGCAATAAAGCCACACAGTACGTCATGTAATAATGAAACAAGACTACGTCATTTAGAAAAAAAGCCACACAGTACGTCATGTAACAATCAAACTTCACAGTACGTCATGTAACAATCAAACTTCACAGTACGTCATGTAACAATCAAACTTCACAGTACATTACACACCGCATTCACCTGTACACCAGATAAACTAATTCGTCAAGCTCCTATGTACGTCATGTAAGTGAAACGTAGTGCTCATCTGTACGTTATGAGAGCAAAACACTTAATTCACCTGTATACCACACGAATTTGCACGTCATCCGTACCTGTACGTCATGTAGCACGCACTGCAGGAAGCCACTTCCATCTCGCAAAACCACAAACATCAGGTTTTTGCCTGAAATGGAATTATTTTCTTTTCATAAATACATTCTGACGGATGGTCAAGTGGAAAGAGCGCTTTCCCGGAGATTGGAGGGTCGGTGGTTCGATGCCCGGTCTGGTCATAACCAAACTACGTCAAAGGACGTGGTTGTATTTGCTCTGCCTGGTGAGTGAGTGAGTGAGAGTGAGTGAGTGAGTGAGTGAGGAGTCAGAGAGTGAGTGAGTGAGTGAGTGAGTGAGTGAGTGACACTATAAGACCGACACATCGCGGTGTGAGAGCAATAACCTTAAACGCAACGATGAACCTCGTTTCACTTTACCTAACATATTCTGTTAGATCATATCATCAAGTTACAAGATGGCTCAATGTTATTAATATCCACAGACATTCATGTTCAGTAAATAAGTTGAACTCTGAAACTATAATCTTTCTTCCGTTGTTTGCACTGTACCTTGCCTCCTTAAACGATGTACCCATCCTTCAACCTTGACCCTGGTGTTGCGGTTTCTAGTTGCCTCCCTTATCCGGATCTGCAACAGTAGACTTGAATGCAGTGCATGCAGTTTGTTGTTGTTGTTGTTTTGACATTAACATGATGCACACACACGCACGCACCACGCACATTAAACCTTAACAAATTGCCGTATGGTAATATGCGAACAAACAAGTTTCGCATCAAGATCTCAGAATGTTTTCAAATTGTGTAAACGATAAACATGGTGAGAGAGTGAGAGTGAGTATGGTTTTACGTCGCTTTTGGCAATATTCCAGCAATATCACGGCGGGGAACACCAGAAATGGGCTTCACATATTGTACCCATGTGGGGAATCGAACCCGGGACGAGCGGACGCTTCACCCACAAGGCTACTCCACCACCCCTATGGTAAGATGAATTAAACATGGAATAGGTTTGAACGACCCGTACAAGTAAACCATATTATCTGTCCTGTACTATCAAAGTGATCAATTATCGGCATTTGGAGTGAGTCATCAAGTTTAGTTTTACGCCGCTTTCAACAATATTACAGCAATATCACGGCAGGGGACACTAGAAATGGAATATACACAGTGAACCCTTGACGAGAATCGAACCTGGGTCTTCAGCGTGACGAGTGGACACTTTAACCACTAGGAACTTGGCATTTGGATCTTGGCATCTAATCTGTGATCTGACTCACCAGTTTCGGCTTGGGAAGAGTGGTATCCATCTTGATTGTCACCTTCCTGGTTTCTGCCAGGTTCCTCTCCGTCCTCATGGCGTCCTCCGCCTGCAACAGTCACAACATCATCATCACATGCACCAAACATGTAAGGCAACACCATCGCAAATTGCATCAGTCTAAATTATTGACAGCAACATCACTATTGACCCGTGACGATCAGGGTTAGAATTGTTCTTCAGCAACCCATGTTTGTCATAAGACTCGACTGGGTGGTCAAGGTCGCTGACTTGGTTGACACATGTCATCGTAACCTAATTGCGCAGATCGATGCTCATGCTGTTGATCACTGAATTGTCTGGTCTAGACGTGATTATTTACAGACCGCCGCCAAATAGCTGAAATATTGCTGAGTGCGGCGTTAAACAACAACCAAACAAACAAAGAAAAAGTAAAGTTTCGAGTTCACATGTACAGTAGAACAGATTGGATTCTGTGAGGATAAAACTATACACAAAAACAAATAACAGTAAGAAGTGATGCATTGACGAAGGAACGTACTGCCACGAGCACATTTTTATTGGCTGTGTTTTCCCACACATTAATATTGGCTAGGGAACGAGGAGAGAGGTAACAAAACGTTTGTGCCTCAGAGCTCTTTGTGACAACTCGGGACAACATAGACCAACATCTAGTTTCTGAAATGAACATATTTTACAAAACAAACCCAACAGTTCCTACTTTATAATAATATGATATTATATAAAGGAGCCTAGATACTTTCTTCATTTTCAGAAACTGAAACTGTGGAAATCTAAACTTGCCACATAATCTAGACTTGCATGGGCTTTCTTGGATATATTTGTTTCAGGGTCTGTACGACTTGGGACAACAGGAATAACGGGTTACGGAAAGGGACGAGAGGTGAAGAATGAGTCACGGCAGCATTCGTTGACAACTCGTGTTATTCCGGTACAAGCCCAATCGGAATGTGGCCAGTGGGGACTCGAGCGAGTGATGCGATCCATTATCGTCATCGTCTGGCCGGACAGGATACCTACGGGTGATATAGGACTCCAGTTGTGTCAAATCGACTCAAATGCAGATATGGGGCTTTCAGGATTCAAGGGAAAGTCGTGCCGTGTTGCTCTGGTGGATCCACATTTTAGACCAACTCGTGCCATTCCGAGACTACACGAATACTGAAAAGACTCCAGTGACGAAGTCGCGTTGACACTGCTGCAGCGAAGCGAGAGGAATGTTTGTGAATGGCACGTGACACATAACAGCGCCGACAAGTCTTGTCAACTTTAGGACACCAGTGAGGGTTTTTCTCAAAACCAAGTTAGTCAATATTTATAGCACCTATTCAGCAGTAACGGCATACATTATGAAATTCGCGTTTGCTGATTAACGATAATGTGGAATTGGTGCAAAATCGCAGTTTATATTTAATTAATTACAAATAGGTCCATAGAGTCGGATTGGGTATGTTTGCTTTTGAACAATTGATAAATTAAATACTTTCAAAAATACCAATTTAGTGGAAAGAGATCTTAATAAATGTTATAATTTTTAATAGAATTTTAGAGGCTTTGTTTATTGAATTTCCGTAAAGGATCGAACCCAGAATTTATCGAACACAGCTTTCGGGTAAATCGCAACTTCAAAATCCGACAAGCGTTTTATTATAAACATATTTGCAGGAATACCCAAGAGCGTTTTACGAAAAACTAATCAAACAAACACTGTTTCGTTATAAATAAACACTGTTGCGTCTCAAACAAACATTTTCTTTTCAAACAAACACTGTTGCCTTTCAAACAAACACTTCTGGATTTCAACCACCCAACTTCAACCACAAAACCACAGCCACCAAATAAATAAGCGGAGGGTTTTAGGGGAAACAAAATCAGAAATGTACCTCTCGAGTAGATTTGTATTCTGCGCTGCTTTGCTCCTTCTGCCAAAGTTTCAAACACTTTTTGTACTGAGACTTGGAAATGACGTCATAATCCTGAAATGGCAAGATCGACAAAAATGATTTCATATTTTACTAATATTTTTCATAAATCCTGGGGTGTTTTGCTTAATATCCTGTTATAAATCTTGTGGTGTGTTACTTCACTTAACCATGTTGTAAATAAGTCTGTTATGTGTATTTTCTGTAAATGTAAGGCAAGATCGCATGCAAGCATACTCCAAAAATTATCATGATACCTGTATCATTTTTTAGATTAACAATTATATTTACCGTGCCCGATTTCGTCTCGTCTCTCGGGTCAACGTGAATTGTAGGGAAGGGCTCCCCTCCAACATGGCGCATAGCCTTAAACATAAAATAAAGATCATAGTATACAAACTCTCTCTTTAATAGGGGTTCGATTCCCCACACGGGTACTATGTGTGAAGCCCATTTCTGGTGTCCCCCGCCGTGATATTGCTGAAATATTGCTAAAAGCGGCGTAAAAATAAACTCACTCACACTCTCTTGAAAAAAAATTGAGGATATACTAAATTAACTAAATTGAAGTAACTAAGTTACCTGATTTACAACACTGCTGTGCAACAAAAAATACTGTTGAAAGTGCCTTATAAGCCAAATTTATTTTCAAACACATTTTCTAAATTATTTGAAAAAATAATATGATTTTTGAAAATGTTTACCTGGAGAACCGTCTTAAAAGGCTTCTCCTTCGTACCGCCCCCTTCCTTATCGTCACCCCTCTTCTCCGACGTGTAGATGTCGCCTGAAATGACCATTGAACAACATACACATAATTGAAATAAAGATTGAATAATACATTGCGTAACCCTTGACTTTCTTCCCATACCTTCGGGGCGGTAGAGTAGCGGATGGTTAAAGCGTCCGCTCGTCACGCTGAAGATCCGGTTCCATTCCCCACATGGACACAATATATGAAGCCCACTTCTGATGTACCCCGCCGTAATATTGCTGGAATATTGCTAAAAGCGGCATAAAATTATACTCACTCACGCACTTCCGTCCCTTCAACAGAGGATTGGTTAAACCAAACCAGTTTGGAACAAATAGTGTGGCTAACCTAGTGGTTAAAGCGTTCGCTCTTCGCGCCGAAGACCCGGGTTCGATTCCCCACATGGCTGCAATGTGTGAAGCAAATTTCAGGTATCCCCCGACGTGGTGTTGCTTGAATATTGCCAGGAGCGGCGTAAAACCATACTCACTCACACTTGAATCAATAGTTTGATTTGTCGCTTAATGCCGCGATTCCATCTCCATGAAGACGGTTTGTTATTATCAAATCAAATAGTGCCCGACATCATAAGCATCGATCTACGCAAAGTATACGAGGACATGTATCAACAAACTAACAAAACCTACAACAAAATCGCAACAATATCACTGTGGAATCCTGGACGGTGGGGTCGCCTGGGAGTGAAAGCGTTCGCTCGTCACTCCGAATACCCCACACGGGTACAATATGTGAAGCCAACTTCTGGTGTACCCCGCCGTGATATTGCTGTAATATTGCTAAAACGGCGTAAAACTGAACTCATTCACTCACTCCTGAACGGTGACACAAAGCTGTGGTATAACTCACCCGTGCTCATGGTCGTGTCGATTCGATTCCAGGTTAACTGAAGAACTGCAGCCCAGCACGCACGATATATAGTTTTAACTGTGCCTATTGCGTCAGACAAACCCGCGTACAGAGCACTTCCCGGGAAAGGCGGTTTCTCGGTGTTAAAAGCGACAAGGTATTCCTCGGAAATAAAGCTATCTTTAGCGCACAGACAAGGCTACAATCTGGTGGCATGAAGTTGTTGTCGTCGGATAGTGGTATTAGATAAATGATCCTGTTATCAGTCTCAAGGCCAAGCGGTTTTAATGTATAACCAGTTTACATATAATTTTTTCCAAATTTGTATTATAATAACTTAATGATGTCAATAATGTTTTACTAATATTCGTTTTACTAATTATTTTTATTCAGATGTGTAACCGGGAGCTACACTCTCCGGTTTAAATTAATAATAATAAGAACATGTTTTATTGTTGATTAATGTTATATTATTTTATGTTTGTGCATGCAGTAATATGTATGAATTTATAAATTGTGTGTTAACTGTGTATTTAACTGTAAAGGAAAGTTGTATGTGAGAACCGGGAGCGCAGATAGTAACGGATTATAGATAGTAATTGGATGTCCGAGGCGGGGTGACATCGGATAATATAACAAGTTGTAATTGAGTTCTTGGGCCATGGTCAGAGGGAGATTACGACTCGGACCATGTCACAGTGGACAAGGGGTAATGTAGCAGGGGATTAATAGAGCTGAATGACAGTGGCAACAAGGTACAAGCCTTGTTACCTGTCACTAGTACAGGGGCTTGTAGTCGATCAAGGCTTAATAATTAGGTATAGCATATGACATCTAAAGGACAGTCCAGCAAAACAGTCATGTTCTGGACTTCTGATTTGATGAATTATGGTCTTTGATGTAGGAATGTTTGGGGATAAAACTAGGGGGAAAAGTTAGGTTCGGGGAGACGGTTTGCGGGACTAACGTTAAGTGGTCAGAGGTCGCTGCGCTCCCGGACATTCAGAATTACTTACAGCACGCTTGCTAAGTATCTGAATTGTTAAACCGTTGATACTAAATAAAAACCACTAGACGATCCACGAAGTTTTGACTTTGATTGTTCCTGTTGCCGGCCACCTGCGAGAAGTTCCAAATTAAAAGAACCAGGTTACAGATGTATGCATTTTGGACATGGTAGAACTATTGTATAGGTTCTCATGATTACAAAATGTTTCATGTGTATCAAAACATCTGTCAAATAAAAACATCTGTTATTACCAACAAAAAATATTACAGTACTTTCGTTTTAAAACCTGTGGTGTTACTCCGTTACTATTTACCCGGTTTTATGAATTTGTATTGCATTTATATTCTGGTAAATATTTCAAAGGAGTATTTTGTGTCTGACGATATACCCAAAACACCTGACTTTTTTAATGACGTATGAAATTTGATACAGAGAGTACGAAGATGATAGTGATTTTCTTTTTAGAAAAACGAACACCTTTTAGTTGGAGGCGGCAGCTCGTTTGTTTGTTGTTTAACGCAGCATTATTCCAGCTCTATGGTGGCGGTCTGTAAATAATCTGGTCTGGACCAGACAATCCAGTGATCAACAGCATGAGCATCGATCTACGCAATTGGGATACGATGACATGTGTCAACCAAGTCAGCGACCTTGACCACCCGATCCCATTAGTCGCCTCTTACGACAAGCATGGGTTACTGAAGACCAGTTCTAATCCTCATCTTCACGAGTCGGAGAACAAAATACCGCCCCGGGTTTTAGAAAACAGTATGTCGGCTCTCTCCAGAACACCATTGGTGTTCTAATCCGGTTCTTCACAAAAGCCTGAAGGCTGCAAATTCCCATACAAGTGTAGAATTGATGGTAACAACAGGGAAAATTGGGACAAAGGTCTGTTTTGCATCATCAGAACAAACTTAATAGACAGTAACACCAGTAAAATAAGTAATAGCGAAATTTGATACTCCTGTAAATGTTGCAAACATATTTTTCATAGAAAATGAGGATTATAAAAGCGAAATGGTATTCAAAAGTGCATAATATATAAAATGATGCATATCGATCATCTCCGGAACATACCCAGAATGTTATTGATTTTTTCACAGCGAATCACATGGAAATGCTTTTGTCATACTTTTAGCCGGAATTGTTGAATATATTCTGATTCAAGCAGAGACTTCCTATGGATATTGAAATGGTTCGTTGCTTTGATCTGCAGACAGCGGCCACTACAATTAATGTTGAGGCTGATTGTCCAAGGTTTCTCTCTGCAAACAACGCGTGCATAGCTCTTACCGTTACAACAACGATCAAATAGATGCTAGGAAAGGCTACGCTAAGGTAGATGATTACAAAATCAGCTACTTATAGCACTTTCCAGATATTCCTTTTAAATTCCAGTACAAGTCGAAATATGTCACTACCCCCATCACTATCATCACGTACAATAATATATTACACTGTTGCACAATAAACACTGCCACAGCTCGTAGAATGCAATGTTTCTTAATACAAGGTTGGGACATAGTGACTTCAACACAATTTGATTCTAAATGACTTTGCAAACTGAATAAGACAAGCTGATGAAATATTGGCATAAATTGAAAAAGAAATATTTGAAATTCATTGAAATGGAATATTGAAATGAATCGAATAGACAAACTCGTGAAGGATTATCATTGAAGTTCAAATTGAAAGGCATTTAGAAGTTGGACGGACATAAAACATGAATAGCAATGGAACATCAAATAGAATCGAATAGGCAAGCTCGGAAAGAATTGTCATTGAATTTCTTGAAAGGCATTTAGTTGGACGAACATGAATATATGACACGTAACTTCTATTTATTCTCTACACGACGTTTCAGAGCTAATTCTTGATCATTCACCAGGTGAATGCTGAGTAAGTGCACAGAGTTGCCATACACCCATCAAAAGTTTAGACACACTAGTGTAAATATAGCCACTTACTTCAGTCAACTGTTCTAAACTGGATTTGCAAACTATTCCATACTGTAACTGTACATATTGCATTCATAGATTTTCGCAAGCCCTTTGACATGGTGAATAGGTTTAAATTACTGTATGTTCTTTTGCAAAATGGGATCCATGGATATTTTTTCAACTTGATTAAGAATATGCATACTAATGTCAAGGCCACTGTAACCTATGAGTATGGTAAGAAATTAACTGGATATTTTGATAGCGCCGATGGGGTTCGGCAAGGCTGTGTCCTTAGTCCGGTATTATTTTCTTTATGTATTAATGAGCTTGTATTGACCTTAAAAAATAAGTTTGATGATGGTATATTTATCTCCGAAAATATGTTGACTATTATTGCTCTGTTATTTGCAGATGATTTGGTTTTGATAGCTGATACTGTTGTTAGATTACAGCGCCGCCTTGCGCTCTACATATGTATTCCCATAAATGGGGCATTGATATTAATACTAATAAATGTAAAATGATTGTTTTTAAAATGGGTGGACCCTTGTCCAAACACGAAAAATGGTTTTATAATGACATTCGAATGGAAACTGTCAATTTCTATAAATATCTAGGACTTATGATAACTCCCAAATTTATTTGGACTAGGGCATGTAAAACATTATCTGATCAAGCTAATAAGACACTGTGGCCGATTAAGACATTTATAAGACGATATAATATGTCACTCTCAGAAGGATTTTATATTTTTGATAAAAAGATTGTCCCAATTCTAACATATGGTGCTGAGATATGGGGTTAAAAAGAGAGAAAGTATTGAAATTGTCCATCGAAATTTTTACTTCAGATTAGTTACAGATCATCTAATGCTGTTGCATATGGGGAATGTGGGAGGGCACCCTTAAGCAATGTCTATTATGTCAAATGTATTAAATACTGCCTAAGATTATTAAGAATGCATCAAAGTAGATATCCATATCAATGTTATTAATTTTTATTATCTGTTGAATTTCGGAAACGTCCCACATCGGCTCGGCATGTCAGTGATTTGTTATTTTATTTTGGCTTTGGCACTGCTTGGATTTCACAAGATGTCGGTGATACCAAAATGTTTCTATATATGCTTACTAAAAGAATTAACAACTCATGCTCTATGCAAGAGTGACATTTTCCCCTAGCTCTTCCTTAGCTGTCTTTCTAGAAGCCCCATAAATCTCTGTTGACCTGTGAAAAATATTTATCATTGAACATAAGTAATAAGTGCAAGCGTCTGTTCACATTATTTAGATCAGGGTGTAATGTACTAGGTATCAAATATATTAGAAGACGTAGTGCCTCTTGCAATGATGATATTGTGTTAAGTAAACACTGTAAAAGTATTGAGGATGAAATTCATATTGTTTATATTTGTAAAGAGAAAGAAGATTTCCAAAGGAATCATGAATCATGGCATGTTACGTGACACCTTTGAATGACCACATTCTTTTCAATTGATATCACGCTCGATAAACGTGTGTTTGTATGTGACGTGCTGTTGGTTATGTATCAGTTGACTCACGGTCAGCTGATGTAATGCGTGTTTCTATGCGACGAAGAACCAGTGCAGGTTACAACGTAGTTGCATAACAACCTATAAATCAGCAACATGATAGGAGGGGGACAGGTTTCAATTCAGCTCATCTGTTTCAAGCCTATTAATCTTTCTAAAATTTGGAGTTTGTGTATAAGACTTTAGAGTTTGCTGTGCCGGGGTAGCGTAAAGATTTTTTTTGTTTACGCTACCCCGGCACAGCAAACTCTAAAGTCTTATACACAAACTCCAAATTTAAATCCAACCTTGATCCTGAGTCTACAAGGTCTATCGTCTCCATAATAGCCATCCTAAACAAAGCCAAACTGTTAAGAATATTTAAACACTTTAGAAAATTAGCATAGACATGTGCCGGTATTGTTTGAACTTGCATTCAGCTGAATTTCACATTTGGTTTAAACGTATTTATTTCAAAAAGAGGCTCCCGATTGGTAAACTAGCAATATGTTGTTTATCTGAATACCGCACCGGAATACAAATAAGGTAAAAATATCTCAATCATGAGGAGAAAAACATGTAGTTAACAAATAAACAATAGCTGTCTGCTTACAAAATTGGAACTATTAATGTCGGAAAGTACTAGTTAAAGAACTGTCAGAAATAGGAA